TTTTAGGCAACTCTAGTAAAGCAACCCTTTAATGTATGAGGACAATATTATATCATCTTGTAGCGAATTAAATTCTGCGTCGATTGGTACCAAATTTGTGAGTTTAGGTTTAAAACCGGCGCTACAACGTTTCATTCAAAATCGGCGCGACCACCGTAGCCGATTATGAATGAGTGGGTCTAGGAGCGTCCAACCATCAAGTATTTGGTATCATTCAGCGCAGAATCATTAATAATTATGTTAAATTTTTTAAATTAGAAATATTTGGTAAAAAGAAAAAAAATTAGAGCAAAAAAACTGTTTGTTCAAGAGAAAACTTTGAGGCCCCATAATTTTTTTTCTTTTTATCCAATCTTACTAATTTCAAAAATTTAACATAATTATCAATGATTCTGCGTTGAATGATACCAAATACTTAATGGTTGGACGCTCCTAGACCCACTCATTCATAATCGGCTACGACAGATATACAACGGCCCTTTAAATCTTCGATTTTGAAATTAATAGTTTACTATTACTTTTAGGAATTAGTAATATCTTTTCAAAGAACCCCTTGCACAGCAATAAAGTCAGGGAAATTTTTGGTGCTTCTAGCTATTTTTCTAGCAATATCTAGCAATTAAAACATTGAGAATCTGCTGATAAACTGGAGGGATGCTTTTTAAAATCCCATACAAAACTTTGAGCGCTTATAACTTTTGATAGAGTGCTATTTAGCAAAAACGGAAAGCAGATTCGGAATGAGCGTGAAATTCTGCGTTGAATTTCATTTGGCCACCACACCCGGTTGGCAAAACACTGTGCTGAAGGTAAATCATCGTGTTTTCTTGCTAATACGCAAATATTTATTTTTGAAAGCAGTCTTTCGTTAATTCCAATGTAAATTCCAATGTAAATTCCAAATTTTTGGTTGTTGATTTAACTTTTATTCGTCCTTATTGATCTTAGTACTTTTATTCGTGCTTATCTTAGTGCTTATCCTTCTTTTCTTGTTCGGGGAACAAGAAAAAGAACGCTTTTGATCAAAGGTGTCAAAACAAGAAAACAAGTCGTAAATAGGACTTGTACTGTACAATTTGCTGATCGAAAACAAGTTAAGCACCGGTAAATAACAGATATTTGTGCAAAAATGTGCACCAGTTGGTTTATTTGTGGATTATTCATTGACAAATTTCACGTATTTGGATTTATAAGTACGAAAAAGGGCCACTCTAGTAATTGTAATTTGTGTACTCGTACTTATCGATCCGAGTACGAGAAATCCGTCAAAGAATAATCCACGGCTTATAAAGCAAGTGAGACAGAAAATTGAAATAATAGATGCACAGATACAAGAGAAAAGAGAATACGTTTCCTAAAACATGCAAAATTTTCAAAACTACCGTAATCTTGACTTTAGCTTTGAACTAATCTATTGGGTTGTCCAGTTATGAATTTTTTTTTAGTTTACTATTTTGTAAATTTCTCAAGATATCGAACAGATGGATATGAGTGTTATATATCATTCGAAAGCTGAAGATCTCCTCTACATTTTGGAATAAAGGGGTTTTGAATTCATTCAACTTTTTGGGAAATTGACTGCACAAAGGGAGAGGTCGTTTTCCAAAAAAAAACCCATTCCAGCTTAGCTGTTCCTCAAGTTTTATGGTGTAAAATAACCGCCCAGAAAAGAAAAGAAAAGATGCTCTGTAATTGTTATATTTTAAAAAAAGTTGCATTGATATATCTATTGGCCAAACATCAAACGGTTAGCTCAATTTGAGCGGAGCCAAAACTTGATCCAAAGGCCACCTTCCATTTTTTGGTCACCTCTTCTTCTATGCAGTCAATTTGCCCAAAAGCTGGACAAATTCAAAAACTTTTTATATCAAAATGTAGAGGAGATCTTCAGCTTTCGAATAATACTCATATATATCTTTTTCTTGATTTCGGTATCTTTACAAATTTACAAAATAGTAAAAAACGCGCATTCATAACTGGACAACCCAATATTTAATTTTGAATCTCTTTGTATTGAAGCCTTGCCGAATCAGCCAAAAAGTGTAAATTGAAGAAATCTGCAATTATGGTAGTTTTCAAAAGTTGACACGTCTTAGAACATGCTTTTGTTGCAAGATAAACGATTTGTTTTTGCGAGAACTGTATACCGTATTTTCTCTAATAGTAGTCCACCTGGGCGAGCCGAGTTGATGCCTATTTTACAGTTTCTAAGTTTTCCCAGAGACTCAACACTCAAATCCCCCACAAGATCTCATCGTCAGTTACATTTTCCGACCCCACATCGATAGGTTCTGATAAGCGGTTCTCGAGATTTCGAGGAATTTAGGCAAAGCTTAGGGTGCACTACTATTAGAGAGAATCCGGTATACGACTTGTTTTCTTGTTTTGCCATCTTTTTGGCCTAAAATAGGTACTTATTTTTGTTTAAAACTTGTACTCTTTTCAAATTACTTATTTAAACGACGAACAACAACGTGCCAATTCTCATTTACTGACCATGGTACCTCTTGAGCAATCTCCTAGGAAAAGCTCTAGACATTTGTTCGCATTGTACACAGGTTCAAATCACATAATAATTCAAACTTTGTTACTAAATGTAGAAAAAGAAAATCTCTCAAACTGTCTTTTCCTTTACAAATCGAAAACTTTTGTCTGACTCATCGCTTAACTTTGCAGTGATTTTGCTCGGAGTCCAGAAAACATTCAAAACAAACAAACAAACAAACAAACAGACAGACAGGCAAACAGACAGACAGGCAAACAGACAGACAAACAAACAAACAAACAAACAAACAGACAGACAAACAAACAAACAAACAAACAAACCAACAGACAAACAAACAGACAGACAAACAGACAGACAGACAAACAGACAGACAGACAAACAGACAGACAGACAAACAGACAGACAGACAAACAGACAGACAAACAGACAGACAGACAGACAGACAAACAGACAGACAGACAAACAGACAGACAGACAAACAGACAAACAAAATGAAACGCTTAAGCACCAACTTTTAAACAAATCTTCTTTCTGATTTTACTTTGACTATTGTAAAAGCAATAAAAGTGGAATGATCGTAAAACTAAAACCCGATGTGAGCGGTAGAAATTAGCTGTTAGTTCTAAGGAAAAGAAGTGCCGTTTTTTTCAATTGAATTTTCAATTTTTCAATTGAAATAGAGTATTGTTGAATACTTAGATGTACAGTAGGATCAAGTACTAGAAAATACACGCTTTATTTTTGGGATCAAGTATAGGTCTCTTAAAATGTGTCAGTTTTTGCAAATGACCGTAATCTTGCAGAGCTTTCATCTAATTGATCTAATGAATTGAATTGATTTTGTTTGATTTGCCTGATTTGCCTGATTTTGCCTGATTTTTGCTTGATTTTGCCTGATTTGTTGCCTTTCAAAGGATACCGTAAGCTTCAAAGATTGGATAAAATTAGAGTCAAGTTTACGGTAGTTTGTAAAAGTTGACGCGTTTTAGAAAACGGATTCCTTGAGAGCAACAGGAATTACTTGAGAGCAACAGGAGTTACTTTAAAACAACAGGAATTACTTGAGAGCATACTTCTAACGTTTTTTTGATCTTTCATTTAAATTTTCCATAAAACAAGCATCTTTTCTTTTCAAAGAAACCAAATTTCAAGTAAATCTTGTGAGCAAGAAAACAATTTTTTTCCTTTCCAAAAACTCAGAGATCCATCGCCGAATACAGAGATCAGAGGCGATTTTTCCTTTCCAAAAACTCAGAGATCCATCGCCGAATACAGAGACCAGGGGAGATTTTCAGCATTCTCATCATTTTATTCACCGAATTTTGTTTGTGCATTTTTTTTTCTGTTTTTTTCCATTCCATTTCTTCTTCTTTTCCTTTTGCATCTATAATCTGAGGAATTATTATGTTTTTTTCACAGTGATCCCCACCGATTTTTGGTCACAATTGCTGATCTCATTTCCCTTGACTACATGATTAAACCAACTTTTTGTCTTTTTCACCTTGGAAATTTTAAACCGGGAAGTTCGAGAACGGGTACGAAATCCCGTTTCTTGAGTCACATTTAGATTTGTTCCATTTGTTCCATTCCGATTTATTCCATTGTTCCAATTTTGTTGAGCTAAACCGTTTCAGCTACACTTTTAAAGTTTCACGTATGAAGCTTTGGATTTAAAGAATTGAAGCGTTTAATTTGAAATTTTAACAAACTAGAGTCAATTTAAACTTTTCGTTTGAATCTTTGCAACAATCGGACAGCCTTTCTTTATATTGGAATAAAGAATATTCAGCAAATAGCCTATCGTGGGTTGAGTAGGTCTGTTGCAAAGCCAAGTTTTGTTGCTAGGTGTTACAAAGCAAGAATCTTTGGAAAAACTTGGCATCTGCCCAGGCTTTTGCTATGCATTGCCTGTGCCTATACACAAGAACACTTCGATTACACGATCCAGCTATTAGGTTAGTGCATAAGTCTTTACAATCATTTTTCCACTTTGGCTTTTGTGATTGCATTGTACATTTAGCTGACATTTATTGTATAGCTTGCAATCTTTGGAACAATGGACCTTTCTTTATATTGAAATAGAGAATATTCAGCCAATCGACCTTGGCTTTCTGATTGTTTTGTAAGACTATGAAGTTATAGTTTAAAAAGAATGCCACCAGGAATCTTCCAACCGGGCCTGCAAGTCATGAGAAGCCATGTCATGTCAGACAAGGCAGAAGCCAGGTCTAGGCTTGGTCTATAGTGGGCACAATGTGGACCAGGTCTGTTGCAAAGTCAGCCAAGCTTCTGCTCAGGCTTTTGTCGTGTCTTGCCTGATCATTCTTGAGATTTTCTTGAGATTCAATTCAAACATGTTCTTACTAACCACCCTTTTTTGATGTTGGTAGCTAGAATAGTATTGTTTAAGTTTCTTATTTCTCCTAGTCTTTTTGGAAAGTTTATCATCATTCTCTTGCTATTTTTTTCTCAATTCCAATCATTTCCCTTCAAGATGGATCCATGCGAGGGCACATCAACTGATGATTTTTCGTCTCCATTTGATGATTCCGATTTGTCTCTCACCTGTCTTGTCTGTGGCCATAAACCAGCCAGGAATTATTACGGATCAATCGCTTGCAAGTGAGCAAAAAAATCTGTTCAAACTTTACACAAAAGACAAATGAAAATTTCAGCCGTTGCAAGACTTTTTTCTTACGAGTGGCCACTCGAAAGAAACGATACAACTGTGAATACAATAGTAATTGTAAATATCGTGAGTGGTTAAAAGGAAGATAGAAAAATTTGATTTTTAGCAAAAGATCGATGTCCGGCATGTCGCTATCACAAGTGTCTGACGGTGGGATTGATCCCGGAAAGTGAGATTTCGATTGAGCATGTTTAAATTTGATTTTCGTTGAGAATTGGGGAACTTACAGAATGTAAAGCTGTAGAAAAATATGAAGAGAATTAGTCTAGATCTTGATCTAGTGAATAATGAATTACTATTGTTTCAGACTTGTTAATAAGCGGGTCTACCAGTCTATTTTCCAGTGGCTGGTCGGAGAGAGAATTGGGGACTTACAGAATGTAAAGCTGTAGAAAAATATGAACAGAATCGGTATAGGTCTTGATCTAGTGAATAGTAGATTACTATTGATTAAGACTTGTTAATAAGCGGGTCTACCAGTCAATTTTCCAGTGGCTGGCCGGAGAGAGGGATGTCAGAGACGAGCGAGAGAGGGAACAATGAGCATCATCGAGCCTCCATCACCTGGATTGCCTTCATTAACAGAAGTAGAGTACGGTAGAATTAGAGTACGGTCGAATTGGTGTCAACAAGTAGAAAGTTTTCAGTTCAGATTAAAGTAAATAGTGTTCAGTGACTTAGCTGAAAGTTCTAGGAAGCCACTCGAATGGTGGCTGTTGTTTGCCCGTCAACATTCAAGACTGAAATCAATTTATCCATCGAGGAAACCATTCAAATATTGCATCGATTGGAAGAGTAAGTGCTGAGGATTAACACTATTAACAAATAAACTCTAGAATTTGTGCCCGAGATGATCCGGCCATCTCTCTGCAACACGATTTTGATTTCAATCTAAATCTCTCTTTTGCTGATGTTCTCAAAAATCCAACTTTCATTTGCCCAAGAGTACCGGTATGTTTGTTTAATTGTAAATTTAAACAAATCTTTTCTGGTACACTCAATTAAATACCAGCAAACCACTTTCCATTCGGCACTTCCTATTTCTGAATTGATTGATCAGGCTAGCGATTGATCAGGCTAGCGATTGATCAGGCTATCGATTGATCAGGCTATCGATTGATCAGGCTAGCGATTGATCAGGCTAGCGATTGATCAGGCTAGCGATTGATCAGGCTATCGTTCTCCAATCAGTTTTCATTTTTAGGCGGGTTTCAGTGCTGCAAGTGACTTCAATCCATTCGGCAATCGAATGGGTGCTCGATGTTTTGCGAGAATGGTCGTTTATTGTGCGGATTGGCTGAGAGCGACACCTGAAATCTGGGAAATGAAAGAGATTGATAGGGTGAGGTGAGAAAAGATGAAAGAGAAATGAGGCTTTGATTCACCTCAACCTTACATTTGCACTTAAAGAATTTCTGAAGACAAAGAAGAAGACATTCTGTTGAAACTTAGCAATTCTTAAAGTTGTAATTCTTAAAACGTTTAGCTGAGATTTTGTCTGCACACGTGTGGAGTGTTGATTCCAATTCAACTCTACTATTACACGTACAAAGAGGGATATGACGGAATGTTGCAAGGGCTAGGAACGCATTTCTCTTGCGAATCGACACTCGGAGCTGGGTGAGTGCAAAAAGTAGACTTATTAAAGATAATAAAGAAGTGAAGGAAATGATAAGAAAAGGTAGACTAAGGTTGTCTTTTTATTAAACTACAGATTGAACTATGCTAAAGGGATTGGGAAAAATGGACAAATGTGAAACTTAGCTTAGCAATATAGCGATCTAGCAATATTACTAAAACTTGGCCAATTACTAGAAATTCTAGATTACTAGAAAGTAATCTAGAAAAGAACAAGCGCGTAATCCAGATAAGTCCAGTTATGGAAATCTAGTTCAATAAGCTGACTGGATTAGGCTGAAAGGACTAAATTTCAGCTGACTCAGCATCGGCTGACTAACTGACTATAAGGAATTGATTGACTGAGCTCATGCTCATGCTCATGCTTAACTCATGTCTAGCTCTTGTTATCATTGTGCAAAACTTAATTTTAGAATTCCCGATTTCCTTCGTTACACCACTCATCAATTCCACAATGACATTTCGCCGATGCTCAAAAAAGTGAAATTCTCCGACGATGAGTTCGTCGTTTGGAAGAATATGATCATTTTTAATTCGAGTTTGTTTTAAAAAAACTCAATTATTTAATTACCAAGAAAAACAGCTTTGGGTCTTTCTGATGAAAGTGCGACGATCGTGAGAAAAGCACGGAATCGATATCAAGGGATTTTGGTTCAAGTGGGTTTATAGGATTTTGAAATCCGTGGATGGCCGTGGATGGCCGGCGAATAACGCGAGAAATCGTGACCGCTCACGTTCACAAATATCATATACTCATAAAATTGTAGATTTGAAAGAAATTTCTACAAAAGACTGCCTATAACATTAAGAATTAGAATTAGATTTTAAAATGGTTTTAAAATGGTTTTAAAATGGTTTTAAAATGATTTTAAAATGAAAATGTTAGCTACTCCGCAAAACGTGTACTGAAGCGGAGGCGATCGCGAAAATGGATGTACTGATGAGAGTGCATCGATGGTTAGAGGTGGGTTGATCGACTGGAAAAAACGAAAAGGGAAACACACCATTTCTGGTGCACTCAAGCACTCAAGTTTGCAATTTTCTATTCAAATCAGATAGAAAAATGATAAAAAATAATGAATTGAGTGCACCAAAGAGTTTCCACTTTTGAGCACAAAGTACAAGAACACTTCGATTACACGATTCAGATATTAGGTTTTAGTGCATAAGTCTTTACAATCCTTTTTCCAAACTTCTTCTAAAAGCAATGCCATTAACAACAAAATTTCTGTTTAAACTATTAAAAAGCTTGATTGTTTCTCTGCAAAATGGTTTTAGAGAAATTCTTCAAAGTAGTTGTTTTTGTGGATTTTCCAAGGAGAAAAGGTGGCCACTGCTCCGATGCTGAAGTCTCAATTTAAACACTTTCTTCAATACAGACCTATTTTGGTGCCAAAGTAAAAAACGTTGCCATACAAAACTTTGAGCGCTTATAACTTTTGATAGAGTGCTATTTAGCAAAAACGCAAAGCAGATTCGGAATGAGCGTGAAATTCTGCGTTAATGTCATTTGGGCACCACATCCGTTTGGCATTCCCTTGTGAGTTGAGGCGAGCTTTGAGCTTTCTCTCAAAAGCGATTTTGTAGAGAAATGATTGATCTTTTTAATAGTTTAAAACGCAACAAATTTGGTAAAGAATTCTTTTTATGGAAAGAAAAGTTTGAAAAAAAAGAAATTGTAAAGACTTATGCATGAACCTATTAAATGTAAAGTCACCGATTAATAGGCGATTTTCAATTTGGAACACTAGCGTAATCTTTACTTTAAATCACCGTTTTACTTAATTTTGATTCCATTGAAGGATCGAACAGTGGATCGAATGGGATAGAAATTAAATAAAAACGAATAAATCTGAAGAACTACGATAGAACTACGAACTACGTTTCTCAAATCGGAAACCAAATCGAAAACCTTTTAGAAAGTTCATTAATCAAGCGAAACAAATAAATAATCATTTGGATCAATCAAAGTATTCATTTGAATGCTTAAAACTTGTAAACAAATGAAATCTTGTAAACAAATCTATTTTAGAACAATGCCACCCAAGCAGCAGTTTTCTTCGCGAAGATTTTCGCGATGGGTGGTGGAGGGGCAGGGTTGGAGGCGCCTCTTGTCGGCGATGTTTTCCTTGCTCGGGTTTAAGAAACAATTGTAAACATGAGTTTCATTTAAATTTAATTATAAAACAAACATTTGAGCTTTTCATTATTGTTACTTTTTAGTCAAAATTAACTTTTTGCTTTTTCCAAATAACTAAAGTGTTTTTTTGAAATTTTCCGCTTCTTTCTTCCTTTCTTCCTTTTTTTCCTTTGTTAGGAACTTGAAATTGAATTTATTTTTGATAAAATTTCCATTTAACCTATCAAAATAATATGTTTCCAATTGATCCGGTTGATTTTTTCAATTTGAAACTTTCAACTCGTACTCCTCGTGATCATCATCGATTTGAATGCCGATAAAAATCTAAAAATAAAAGTAAACTGACTTTTATCAATGATAGTTTAGATTAGATAGATTATATATGTTGTGTCCGATTTAGATTTCGCGGGGTTGCACCTAAATCGGAGCCGATTGATCCAAACCGAATGACGTCCGATTTAGATTGAACCTATCGCGGACGTCCGATTTAGATTACAGTCTATATCGGACGTTCGATACAGATCGAACAATAATAAACGTGCTTAATATATGTTCTTAAGCGTTTTTTTGCAATTTTCTGCGCTTTTCAAAGAAATTTTATTGTCTTTTTTTGAGAATTTTTTGTTTTCTTGTTTTCCTATTAAGAACGTAAGAATTCCAATTGATCCGGTTGATCGACCAAAAATTGGCCACCGAAATCTTTTGTGCGTTGTAACTGGAGGTTTGTTTCGATTAAATTCACTTAAACCATTTTTTAAAGCAATCGATGGGCTTTTTATATTATTGTTCAATCTGTATAAGATTTAGATTGAATCTAAATCCGATATAGACTGTAATCTAAATCGGACGTCCGCGATAAGTTCAATCTAAATCGGACGTCCGATTTAGATTGAATCTAAATCGGACGGAAATCTAAATCGGACACAACATATATAAAAACTATGTTAATTTCCTTAACATTTATTATTAATAAGTGATATTTAGCTAACCTGATAAGCCCATCCTCCGACAATGGCGCCGATACAAGGAGCAACCAAGGGAATCCAGAAATACCAATCGTGATAACTGAAAAAGAGATATTATGTGGAAGAAAAGAGATTTTAAATAGAATTATTTATTAACTAGATTATTTGATTAGATTATTTGATACCTGAACACTTCGATTCCATAAAGATAAGCGGCAAAGAGACGAGGCCCGAGATCTCTCGCTGGATTCAGCGGATAGCCAACGTTGAGGGAAAGGGAACAGCCTGGCATCGACAATTAGCTTATATCATCGATATTTATGGATTTTTGATAACATATCTCAATATTAAAAGAAAAATAAGCACAATTACGCAGACCATGTTCCAACTGGGTTCTCTGACCTATAGGTTCATGACCAGGCTTACAAAAGCCGGTTAAGCCGGGCAAGGCTAGGACTCGACTTTTGCATTGATCCTGACCTTACCCAAGCTGAATTGGCCCAAAAAACACTCGTTGAACAACCCTGGCCAACAACCTCTCACCAATCAGACTCACCAATCATCGTCAAAACAAGCCCAAAGAAGAGTGGCTGCAAAAAGACGGGCACCTGTAATGAAAAGCTCAATTCGTAAGATAAGATCTTGTAAAGTTGAATATCTTGTCACATTACAGTATGCCAAAATTGAGCTATATATATGTTATGTCCGATTTAGACTCAATCTAAAACAGACGTCCGATTTAGATTTTGACTTCTGTAAAACATAAAACAACAACTGAATCTAAATCAGACGTCCGATTTAGGGTCAAAGTCAGATTTAGAAGGTCAAAGAATCAGATTTAGACTCTAAATCTAAATCGGACGTCTGTTTTAGATTGAGTCTAAATCGGACGAAAATCTAAATCGGACATAACATATATACATCGTAGCTATTTATAAAATTCAACCGTTTACGAATGAAATGTTTAAATTTCAAATTTCATCTGTATTCCAATTGAATTGATCCAATTTAATAGATCCAATTTTCTTTTCAATTTTCTGCAAACATGGCTCGATTCAACTAAGTTTACCATGTTTTCGATTTCAAATTATTTATGCAAAACGGAAAAGAAACGATTTCTCTTGAGAAGGGGCGGCTTCGATGGAGAAAATTGTTGTTGGTCGCTTCAAACTGATTTCGAGTGATCCGATTTGCGACTTTTATCTACTAACGCTATCTATTGAGCATGGACGTTAAAGATTAAGGAATAAAATCTAAGATAACTAACTATCTTTTACTGCAAAACTCCATTTTTGCTGCCAATCTGATATAAACCGTCCTCCGAAAACAGCATGACACCGAAAAGAGATGAGTGGCCGATTTTAGGTCGATCAACAATATCGCTTGGGAGACGAACAGTCATTCCAACTTCAACTGGCCCACTTATCCAACTTTAGCTTAGCCATTTCAACTTTAGGTTGTCGTTAGTAGATACGTTACGTTACGTAAGTAGATACGTAGACAACTAGAAACAGAAAGTTGAAACTGGAAATAGTCACCAACTCAAACTGTAATCATATTTTAAAGATTTGCAAAAAGATTAAGCCATTTTAATATTCTAAAGATTTAAAGACAAAAAGATCAAGCTAATTAATCTAGTTTTAATTTAATTTACCGTATTTTCTCTAATAGTAGTGCACCCTGATCGCCGTCTAAATTACTCGAAATCTCAAAAATCGCTTATCAGAACCTATCGATGTGGGGTCGGAAAATGTAGCTGACGATGAGATCTTGTGGGGGATTAAAGTGTTGAGCTTCTGCAAAAGCTTGGAAACCGTAGGCATCAACTCAGCTCGGAGCGGTGCTACTATTAGAGAAAATACAGTCGATTTAAACAATGGCATCAGGATTATAATAATGATACTTTATTTAAATGATAAAGTATTACTGTAGTAAAGTGACACTTAGAGTAGACATAATCCGACATTTAACCTTCATAGTCAGCCCAGCACAAGGTTGATTTCAAAATATGAACTCTATAAAAAGATAGAAAATACCGTATTTTCTTAATAGTAGTGCACCCTGATCGCCGTCTAAATTACTCGAAATCTCAAAAACCGCTTATCAGAACCTATCGATGCGGGGTCGGAAAATGTAGCTGACGATGAGATCTAGTGGGGGATTTGAGTGTTGAGCTTCTGCAAAAGCTTCGAAACCGTAAAATAGGCATCAACTCGGCTCGGCTCGGCGCGGTGCACTACGATTAGAGAACTTGATCTTCCCACGCGTGTCTACAGTTTAGTTACTAGTAAAAGTGTCCCAAAATGCGGTGCACTACTATTAGAGAAAATACGGTATACATTTTTCAAGCCTTTTAAATTATTTTCCCGCTTCAATGACACTCTTCCCAAAATTTTTATGCTAATTTAAACCTGGGTAAACGGATTATTTCCTTTTCTGAAAACTTTCTGTTTCCAGTTTCAGTCAAACGTTCTTCAAGACTTGATACGCGTCAAGTTTGTTGAGATCATTCTAAAAAACGAATGAGTATGTAATAAAATGAATCATCAAATCAATCACTATCAAACAATAATTAAGAATAATCACAAAAAAGCAAAAAAAAATGAATTAAACATGATTGATAAAAATGTTGTTGAGAAAATTAGCATTTAAACATTTCATTCGTAAATGGCTAGCCGATTAATAAACGGCCAAATTCATAAACGGCTACAAAATCCATATTTTGGCATCAATAACAAAACATCTTTTAAATTCTAAAAGCTAAATAATACCTTATTCCTTCGATCGATGCACAAACAGATACAAAAAGCAAGTACACCAGTTCCGGCAATCTAATGTATAAGTTACCGTAAATACTGTAATAGTACCCCACCGTAAGTGACCGTAAACAACCGTAAACAACCGTAAACATACCGTAAATACTGTAATAGTACCCCACCGCCCTCGTACAGTCGCGTAGTCGCAAAGCAAAAGCAAAAGTTTTTTAGTATTTCATTTTTTTTCAAAGCGCTTGTACTTTCAAAAAATTCGTCTTTGGTATCAAAAAATAGCCCTGAATTTCAGCTTTCATTTGATATTTAAACGAACACTGTAGCTTAAACGGGTGGCAAGAAAAACGCGTTTAAAGTTAAGCTACGCGACGCTCCGCACCGTCATTATGGGGGTGGGGTACTATTACAGTATTTACGGTAGGTTAACTTGGCTCTCCCCTAGCTCTGATTTAGCTTATAAGCACTGAGATCTAGCTGGATATACCTGCTCAGAAGCCAGCCTTCTCCTGGCTCAATTTGGCCCACACCACAAAAACACTGGATTGGCGTTGGCTCTCTGACCTAGACCTCTGACTTGCTTTAGAGCTGGCACCTCTTACAGACTCCATTGTATTGTAGCATTGAAGACTCTATTGTATTGTAGCAGAGCGCGCATTGTAGCATAAACCAGTGTCGAGAAAAACTCCTTCAAAGCTAGACTACGCAACACTCCGCACCGTTATTATGGGGGTGGGCTACTATTACAGTATTTACGGTAAATATTTATTCCTATAGACAGTCAACTTTTAATTTTCCCAACCTGATCAAAGAAAGCGGTACCATTGCTGACGTGAAGCTCGGGGAAAGACGTGAAACAAGCAGCTAAGCCAGGGAATGCGAGGGTTTTGAGTGAAGTGAAGTGTTTGAATTGATCTAAGATTGATTTACTGTAGTTTGTAGTTATTTTTAACCTTGATACAAGTAATAAGGCCCAATTGATCCCACAATTGCTCCGGAAAGCTGAGCGATAATGAATGGAAGTAGATGAGAATGGGGTAACTTTTCAAGAGTCACCATCAATAAAGAGATCGCTGGGTTGAGGTGACCGCCTGGCATATGAAAGTACCATAAATTTGTTTATTGGAAAGGCTCGTAGGTTTAGAAATACAATAAGATACAATACAATAAGATAACATTTTAATACAGTAACTTTGAAGTGTCCCAAAAGTCTTTGATCTCTGTCTTTGATCTTTGGGTCTTTGATTGACAAAGCTGTTTGTATAAAATGAGCTTAATTTGAGACTAGTTTGTCTACAGTTTCTCCTTCCACTTACCCGATGTCTGATACGTTGCTAGAGCTGAGAAAGTCAACGCGAGACCCCAGCCGAAATTGACATGAAACCACGAACTGATCACCCCATTCGATAAGATGAATTGCATACTCACCGAGAGACCAAGGAACTGTATTCAAAAGTACAGAGTGACCCGCAAATTATTCGGCAGTTTTTGACCTATATCTTGGCAGTAGCTGTAGCTATAGAAACGGTTTAATTCCTTTTTATTAGGTTGAGAAAAAAGTTCTGATTCAGCTGGGGAAAATTCAATTTTTCCAGATGTATTTGAAAGAAAAAGATCTTCAAAGTTTTGATCCGCTATTGCTGGAAACGGAAACTTTTAACAAGAGATGCCTTGAAAGAGATTCGATCCGACCCGACCCGATCCGATCCGATCCGATCCGACCTGACCTGACCCGACCTGATCCGATCCGATCCAATCCGACCCGATGCCCTTGTCTATTATCCAAATGTTACTCTTAAAGCTTAAACTCATCAAAAAAGCAAGAAAATCGATTTCAGTTCGAAAATGAACTAGAAAGAGCTTGAAAAATGCGTGCCAATAGTTGTTCTAAGCGCATCTTCCAAGTAATAATAAAAAGTAATTAATAAAAATCTCAAAAGAATCCTACAATTTGTATAAAGAAATTTTCCTTAGAAAATTATCTCAATTTTCATATTAAAAAAGAATTAAACCGGTTGGCAAAGCTACAGCGAAGATGTAACACAAAAAGTCGATAATTTGCGAGTCGATACTTTGCGGCCAGCGCTGAAATGAGAAATAAAAGAAAACAAGCAATTCCTTGTATCACAAGCTTTGAAATTTGTCTTGTTTTAAAGCTTGCACTCACCAAGAGCATTGCTGTTCCCAAAAACTCGGACAAACAATTCCTTGCTAATTTGCTTTTCAGACGAAAAATCGATCGAGCCTTGGCGATTCTCAATGAAGATTTTCGCATTTCTAAAAGGCAAAAAGAAAAGATATTGAGAAAAAGAGCTATTGATAAGGTAGATATCAATTTTAAATTACTTCCAAGGCTAACTGAATTGTTAGAAAGTTACTTTGAATAAGCGGTGCCGCTTGCGGGTGTGAGGACATTGTTTATTTTGGCAAAATATTGATATTAATTTGTTTATCAAAATATGTTGAATGTTGAATGTTGAATGTTGAATAGTAGACTGAAACTGGAAACAGAAAGTTTTCAGAAAAGGAAATAATCCGTTTACCCAGGTTTAAATTAGCATAAAAATTTTGGGAAGAGTGTCATTGAAGGGGAAAATAATTTAAAAGGCTTGAAAAATGTATACCGTATTTTCTCTAATAGTAGTGCACCGCATTTTGGGACACTTTTACTAGTAACTAAACTGTAGACACGCGTGGGAAGATCAAGTTCTCTAATCGTAGTGCACCGCGCCGAGCCGAGCCGAGTTGATGCCTATTTTACGGTTTCGAAGCTTTTGCAGAAGCTCAACACTCAAATCCCCCACTAGATCTCATCGTCAGCTACATTTTCCGACCCCGCATCGATAGGTTCTGATAAGCGGTTCTCGAGATTCCGAGCAATTTAGGCGACGCTCAGGGTGCACTACTATTAGAGAAAATACGGTAAGCATCAAAGCTAAGTTGGAACAGTTGTGCGCCAACCATAGCCGTTAAGTGGTTTTTGAGATTTCGTCCAATTTAGGCAAGGTATTTTGTAGAAAGTTCTCAGTAATTTTGTACTCGTTTTCAAGAGGTGATTCAGGGCTATCAAATGACTGTAATAATTTAGTTTTTCGTTTAACTTACACTAAATTATCAGTAAAACAGTTAACGGCTATGTGACAGTGTTCAAAATAAAGTTTTGGTTGATTTAACCGTGAGCAATCGGTAAATGCTAAACGCTTTCCAACTTTGTTCAAAGTTTTCACAAAGGCTCAACACTCAAATCCCCCACTAGGTCTCATTGTCAGCTAGATTTTCCGATCGCACATCGATAGGTTCTGATCAGCGGTTCTCGAGAATTCGAGGAATTTAGGCAACGCTCAGGGTGCACTACTATTAGAGAAAATACAGTAAATTAAATTAAAACTAGATTAATTAGCTTGATCTTTTTGTCTTTAAATCTTTAGAATTTAAAGATTTCTATATTAAAATGGCTTAATCTTTTTGCAAATCTTAAAAATATGATTACATTTCGTGAATTACTCTAGCTACAGTATTACACTAAGTACTACAGGACTAAAACTTTCAATAGTTATTTCATTTTTATGAAAATGATCTCTTTTCTATACTCAGCTGATTCAAAAGAGTGAAAGCCAAATCCATCTTTCCCTTTCTTTCATTTATTCCAATTTTGGGAAAGTGAATCAAAAAGAAACGCGTCTTTTATGAGATCTCATTGGATAAACTGGATTTTTTTTTCTTCTTTCGTCTATCATTCCAGCCTTTTTAAACTATTTGTTCAATCAATTTTATCGTTAAATATTTTATTCAATATTCAAAACTTTCATTTAAGATTCTTGATCTCTCGTGATGCCAATTATTGTCACAATTGGAGTGGCTCCAACAGCTCTTGGAGCATGCTATCGCTTGAATGAATTAAAGGAAAATCGAGCTAAAGAAGCGCAAAATTTTGAGATTATCTGTCTTGAACAGGTGACTAAACAATCCTAATTAATCATTTTTAATCGATTCATTAAAAGTTTTTTTTTAATAGTCTCTTTGATCTTTAAAAGCTGTGTTTTAAAAGATACTTATTCCTATATAAAGGAAAATTAAACCACATTATAAGTACTCATTGAAAAGTTGTTATTACCATGAGCTTCTCGCCTATTAAGTCTATTTTCGGTTAAAATTTGAGTAACTAAACCAGCCTTAAAAAGAATTTCTGTTCCAAATGAATCCTAGTTTCTGATAAAGGACAAGAATTTACATATCCTGTCCGAGTCATAGTCTAGAATTGGATTATCAGACATTGGATACGCGCACCGAGCCTTTTCCCATGGGCAATCTAACTTTGAGCTCTAATTTCTTGGTGTTGAGCTATTCAATTTAAATTTTCTTGGTATCTTTGGATGCGCCAAAGCTCTCTCTGTCGATTGGTACAAAAACTATTTACATTGGACAGCTTAACACCAAGAAGTTTGAGCTCAAATTTAGATTGCCAATGGCGAAGGGTCTGGACACGTATAAAAGGTCCGTCGCCCCGCCCCTTTTCCCGTTGGCAATCTGACTTTGAACTCAAATATCTTGGTGTCGGGTTGTTCAATTTTAATAGTATTTGTATCAATCGATAGAGAAAAACTTGGCGTATCCAATGATACCAAGAAGATTCTAATTGAACAACCAGACACCAAGATATTTGAGCTCAAAGTTGAATTGCCAATGGCAAAGGGGCGGGGTGCGGATCAAATGTCTAGAATTAAGCTATCTGTGGTGAATGTGTTACTAAACTTGTTCAAAATCCAGGAAGCGATCCCTGGTGGTCTCTCATGTACCGCCGTTGACGAGATGGGATTTCTCTGGGACATGGGTGGACATGTCACTTTCAGCAATCATCAATATTACAAGACAGCCACCCGGTGGGCGGTCGAGGAATGGAATGAGATCGGGAGGAATTGCAAGGTTTGTGGAATTCGTCTTGCAATCATTGTCTATTCATTTTTAGGTCGACATGAGTCCTTTATGGAACGAGCCGGGTATCCACCTTGTTCCCTATCCAGCTCAATTCGCTGTACCCCTTTTCCCGAATGAACATAAAGAGAAATGTTTACGAGATTTGAGAGAAAGATACAGTGATCAAGTGAGTTGATGAGTTGATACAGTATTCTAAGACAATAAGCCAGTAAAAAATAGCACTTACACTACTGGACAATGAAATATGATATTTGAAAAAAGATTGTCACTTTCGCGCCTCTGTAACTCCCTTGTCTTTGCCGTATTTCTAAATATTAATATTACCATTGTGTAGCCCTTGAAAAGAGCTTTCAGAAAATGTGTAACACTAATAGTTTAAACTCAAAGACAAAGGGAGTTACAGACGCGCGAAAGTGACGATCGTTTTTCAAATATCATATTTCATTGTCCAGTACTGTAGCTTGTCAAAAATTGTCTTTTTCCTTGTACTTTACTCAATACAGATTGAATTTGCTTCTTTTAGAGAATTCTATTCATTCTATAGTTAGTTGAATACTTTTAGTTGTGATATTGTGCTAAAACAGTAGAATATCTTTAAGTTCAGAACGGAAAACTCTCGAAGAATGCCACCTTTGAGGAGTGGGTGTTGAGGAATTTTGGACCAGCGATGAATGAGGCTTTCTTTATCCCATACACAATCAAGGTGAGTATTTGAAAGTGATCGTAAATTGGCAGCTAAAAAAAACATTTCTCAATTTCAGGTTTGGACCCTGGGAGTCGAAGAAATGTCGTCGAATTGGGTGGGTGAACGAGTGGCAAAATTGCCGAAAGAGCGATTAGAGGAGCTTTGTGCGATGAGCGAAGATGAAGTTGTGGTGAGTGACGGGGGAGACTTGAGACAAAATATCGTATTCTCTCTAATAATAGTGCACTCTTTAATAGTAGTGCACTCTCTAAGAGTATTGCGGTCCGAGAGGGGGTTGAAAAAAATAGTAGTGCGCACTACTATTAGAGAGAATACGGTAATCAAAGTTTATAAAGAAATTTGATTAATCAACTAGACATTCTTGATTTAATCGACGATAAAGTAAAGCTCTAGCTGTGGTAAACCCATTGTAGTCAGGGTTGTTTCAAAGGGACTCAGCCAGAGCCTAGCTTATGATCGGCTGGTCTTGCTTGGACTGGGCTTTACTTTACAGGATGCGTCATAATTAATGATACAAGAAAAATGGTTGCTCTTTCGGCAATTTCGCCACTCGTTCACCCACTCAATTCGACGACATTTCTTCGACTCCCAGGGTCTAAACTTGAACTTGAGAAATGTTTTTTTAGCTGCCAGTTTACCATCACTTCGAAATACTCACCTTGATTGTGTACGGGATAAGCCTCATTCAAAGAAAGCCTCATTCATCGCTGGCCAAACATCATTTTTTTTTTCAAAGAAGCTCAACTGAAAACAGTTTTATTTTTAAGAACTAATTGATAAAAACATAAAAATCAACAACTATTCAATATGGCCTCCATCCGCGGTAACACAGGCTTGAAGTCGCTTGAGCAAGTTGTCCACATTGGCTAAATAGGCTAAATCGAGATCTTCCCATGCTTTGATCAAGGTTTTCACTGATCAAACACTGTAATCAAGTGAATTCAAGTCTGTGGACATCGATGGCCACTCATTAAAATTGATGCTACACCAATCCTGCATCCACTTTGGAGCACCATCCTGTTGATAGGTCTAAATTTTTGACCAAAGTAATTATTGGTCCAGGGTAAAACTTTCTTTTTCAAGAGATCCAGATAATTGTTGGCATTAATCTTGATGCCGACAAGATGACAAGGCCAAAACTGGTCTTGTTTTTGACTGGGCCAAGACTGGCCAAGACAAGACAAGGCCAAAACTGGTCTTGTTTTTGACCTAAACCTGGCTTGGCTTCTAGAACCTAGAGCCACTCTGGAACATTCTTATCTGTAACAAATCCATTTTATGAACTTTTCCAGTATTTGATGCATTTATCAAGTCGAAAAATCACTTTCTAAGCCAAAAATTTAAGAATGCCGATTTTGGTTGGGGACCGAACGCTCTATTCTCTTTCCCGAAACGCGGTGGCACGGGGAATGTCTGGAAGAGTATGGCCACGAAACTTCCCCAGAAATTTTTCAAATACAAATCAAAAGTTAGTTTGAAAATTTCAATATATTCAATTTTCATTTTAGGTTACTAAAGTTGACTACGAGAATCATCAACTAATTTACGAGGATCTGAAAAATGGGGAGAACAAAACGATCAAGTACGATTACCTCCTCAGCACATCGCCTATCGATATTTTGGTGGAAGAGACTCAAATCACTAGGCCATTGAATATCAAAAGGAATAAGGTAAAACTGAAACTGAATATCAAAAGGAATAAGAAATAAAGCACGCTTTTTAGGTTTTTGTCATTGGGGTTGGCTTGAAAAAGCCGATTACACCTTTTTTGGAGAACATGACCTGGTTGTATTTTCCCGATTCAGCTGTTCCGTTCTTTCGGGTCACTGTGTTGAGTCGATATGGAGAAGTTTTTAAAAAAGAAACATTACTCTTTGAAAGCTTTAATTTCTAGATGACACCGAATGGAGAAAAATATTGGTCATTGCTGGTTGAGTGCGCGAGGAAACCAGAGGATACAGTAAGTCGGAGAAATTGACCAGGAATATTAAGAATATGAGAAAATTACCATATGATTTGTTTGATACAGGAATATACCATACTGTACCAATATTGATATTATTAGGTTGGCAACTTAATAATGACGCGTCACTACTTAACATGTTTTTTGTAATTTCAAGCGCCGTTTCTTCCCTCTTTTTTGCATATATACAAAGTAAAAGATATCTGCATAAATAACATTTAGTGCTGCAAATTTCATCATTCGCTTTTTGGCAAAAAATGGAGGACAAAAAATTCCGTATTCGAGCTGCATTGTTCTACGATTTTAAACAAGGAAAATCACCAGCTGAATCTCATCGCACGATCATCACTGTTTTTGGGGAGGAAAGTATACACATTCGGCAATGTCAACGATGGTTTCAAAGATTCCAAGGCGGCGATGAAAGCCTCGTAGACGAGCCACACCAAGGACATCCTCCAGAAGTGGTCGACGATGACTTGCTCGCCTTAATTGAAGATTGCCCAACACTCACCGTTCGTGAGTTGGCAGAAATATTTGAAGTATCCCATACGACAATCAAAAACTATTTACACAAACTTGGGAAAAGAATCGAGTTGGAAAATGGGTTCCTCACGAACTGACCCAAAGCAACAAAATGTCGCCGCAATTTTGTTACAAAAATGTAAATCAAACGACTTTTTTCACAGGGTTTTGACTTCTGACGAAACGTGGATCAACTACGAGAACGTTAAACGCAAAAATCAATGGCTATCTGCTGGGCAGACCCCTTAAACCACTCCCAAACCTGATATCCATGGGAAGAAGATAATGCTCTGTTGCTGGTGGAACTTCAAGGGATTGGTGCATTGTGAAGTGCTGAAACCTGGCCAAACCGTCGATGCTGATCTTTATTCGAAGCAATTAATGAGAGTTAACGAGTCTTTGAAGAAATTGGGGCTCAAACCGGAGAGAGTCAGATTTTTACACGACAACGCAAAACTTCACACTGCAAAGATCACTTATAAGAAAATCGAGGAACTTGGCTGGAAAGTTTTGCCCCACGCGTCTTATTCACCTGATCTGGCTCCTTCAGATTACTTTTTGTTTCGGTCGCTGAAGCACTTTTTGGAGGGAGAAAAGTTCGATGCTTATGCTCAGTTCATAAAAGCAGTGAATGACTACTTCGCCTCAAAAACTCCCAAGTTCTTCGAGGATGGGATCCGGGATTTGCGCAGAAGATGGGAAGAAGTCATAGATACTAATGGAGAATACGTTTCGAATTGAAAGCTCTTCTTTTGTGTTTTTTTGAAATAAATGATTTGTTACATAAACGCGTCATTATTAAGTTGCCAACCTAATACAATGAAAATGCACTGTCAAAGCTCCATTCATCTTGAGCGCAGTAAAATACGAGCAGCTGATTTCGTCACTTTATACATGGTCGCGTCCGTTTCCTTCCTATTTGCGTTGCTATTTTGCAATTATTCGCGTCGCATTTTTCGTCCTTTTTCTCCCTTCCCAAAATTATTTTTTTGCCTTCTTTCTGGGGGGACTTTGTTGTTTCATTTTTGATGCGCATGCTGTTTTTGTAATGGATATTGTTGCATTTCGGTTTTGTACTAATAAACAGTAACGTTATAAATTCCCTTTACTTTATGCTACCCTTCAGGTTTTAAATCCTGTTTAGATGACTGGTTTAACATTGTAGAGAGACTGTTTTACTAACATTTGTGTCACCATCGACGTAGTATCAATCCGATCTACAGATCGGAGAGTATTAATTCTTAAGAGTATTAATCTTATGTTGGATACTACGTGTTCTTGTTACGTTGTAAGCGCTTTTGGGGAAACCCTTTTAACCTTTTGTGCTATTCGACCATTCTTAAGCAGAATCATCCTCGTTGATAAGGTTAAAGCGGGTCGCACCCCAAACTATATAAAAAAGCAGTGTCTGTCTGTACGAGCATTTTCTCCCCCATTTTTTGACCAATCAAGCTAAAACTTTTTTAGAATAGATTGTAATTGTGGAATTAAAATAAAAAATTCGAAATTAAGTGGCAGTACGCGAGCTCGAACCCTGAGATAAACTGAGATAAGCGTGGGCTGTAGATAAGCGCGCTCCTGACTGCGCCACGGTGACAGGAGATTCGACTAGAAAAACCCGCCATTAGATGGGTTTTTCGACTGGTTTCGGCTGGTTTTTTCAGCTGGTTTTTACATAAAGCTGCCCTTGTCTTACGGTAAACTTTAGTTTTACATTCATAAATTTTACCGTAACCTGATAATGAGTAAGATTGTCTATGAAATACAAAATCTAAAGCTCATAATCAGTTACGATTCAGACTGCCAGCGAAGAAGAGATCAAAAAAGCCACCGTTGCTGGCCTTGTGAGAAAAGGAATGATCGAAGAAGGAAACATTGTCTCACTTTGGTCGACCACATTAAACTACGGATATCCCATTCCAACTCCGCAAGTGAATCGAGATTTCGTTGTCAAAACTCATTTCCAATGCAATTTCAGCGAGATGAAGAGCTAGCTCGAGCACATCGAGAACTGGAGAAATGGTCGATCTATTCTCGAGGCAGATTTGGCGGATGGAAATATGAAGTGAGCAATCAGGATCACTGCTTTTTGCAGGTTTGCTTGAAATATGTCAAAATTTTCTAATTCTCACACAAATTCTAAAGAAAGTGATCACTTTTGCATGAGCTAAATGAATCTGATTGAACTTACTTGCTAAGTTCAATCAGATTCATTTAGCTTCAATCAGATTTCATCCGAAACTCATTTCTATTCACTTCATTTTGTAAATTTGATTGAAATTACTTGCGAATTTCCGTTTCAGGGTAAAGAATTCATCGATCGAATCGTTTTGGGTGAACCCGAGCGAATGTACAAAACGTGTGTTGATGAGTTTGCAGAAGAATAAATTTGGAATTTATAACCGAACCGACACATTGGAAATAGCGACTCTATGAGCTTTCAACTGATTGCATCATGTCAAAAGCAAAAATTAAATGAGATTCCCTTGTTACAAAGCCACATACCGTTCTACTATATATAAAAGAGTCTGTCTGTTTGTCTGTGAAAGATCGAAACAGACTTTCCCCGCTGTTCTTTCCCCGCTGTTTTGTTTTTTCCTCCGCATCCAGTGGGCCGTTTCAAATGACTTATAGTTCATTTGGCTTAGAATTCCATGTAGTTGTGCACAATGTTTTTAAATTTCTAAAAAAACCAAAAGTGCCGACGCGGGCGGGAGTCGAACTCGCGTCGTGTGGGCTAGAGACAAATGCGCTCGCACTGCGCCAGAGCCTGGCCGAGTGGTTAACGCGTGAGTCTCCCAAACGAACGGAAGAGAGAGGTCGCGAGTTCGACTCCTCTCTCTGCCAATTCTTTTGATTTTTACTACAAAAATTTTATTTGCTGGTACTCTAATAGAAGCCCGTCTATAGGAGCGTCACGTAGTCTAAGAACTCAAAGAAACACTCAAAGAACCGCGCATTTATCGAAAAAACTATAATAGACAAAAAACTATGATAAACTATGGCAAAACTAAATCCCTTTTAGGCTTTGCTTAACTTACTTAATCTTGTTCTCATTCGATTAGGAATCAAACTGTGATTCCTAATCGAATTTCTACTGATAAAATTAAGTATTGAGTTGGGGAGAATGAGTCGGCGCCGAAATTTAAAGAAACTTTTTGCACCCATAAAACCTTCTTTAAATACACGTTTTGTTTCATCAAAATGGTCCACTATTTCTTTACAAAATGGCTTTTGAGAGATTCCACAAAGCTTTTCTTTTTTGGGATTTTATGGATTCCCAAACACAGCTAATCAAAATGACAAAAAGTCCGACTCATTGCTTGAACAGTTTCTTCCACATAAACCTCCTTTGGTGTTTATATAAAAAAGATAGAGCACACTCAATTACATAAGTTACCAAATTTTCAGGAAGATCCCTCCAACCGTTTACTCTAGATGACAGTTTATCGATTTTGTGAAAAAAATGATCCTTTGTTGAGTTGAGGCGCTGTTTGAGTTCTCTTTTAAATATTATTTTGTAGAGAATTAGTTACCCTTCTACGGATATCAAACGCATATCATTTGACAAAGTCTGCTATAAGTTTTAGAAATTTCTTTGATTTTCGGCGCCGACTCATTCTCCCCAACCCAATAGAAAGAATGAAATCTGAAGGGGAGTCTATTCTGAATTTTTGAGTTGAATTTTGAGGACTAGACTCTGTGAGCTTTCGAAAAACCCTTGCATAACATTGTTGTTTTGTCTGGGAGTGTTTGTGGGGCATTGCTTTTGCGTGTCTTTCCAATTTCTTTTTTTTTTTTTTTTTTTGCGAAAGATCGACTTGTTTACCACAATTCCCTTTCCCTTTTTTGCCCCTTTTCCACCTCCATTTCTCTTTTCGAAATGGCAGAAAGTGCAGCAAAAAAAGCGTTTTTTCGACGAGTGCAAAAAGAGTTTTGTCGAATTGAATTGGGTCTGAACACTCTCGATAACTCGTTTTTTCCGGAAAAATCGATTTACTGAATATTCGATAACAAGCTGAACACATTGCCAATTTCGAAGTTTTTTTTTCGTTTTTCGAAAGAAGCCGATTTTCACTCATTTTTCCACTTTGCCTAAAGATTTTTACATGATGAATTTTTTGTGAAATGGCTCTGATCGCGTTGTTGGCCACTCCACGGGAGCTCGATTCAGAGGTAAGAACCAGAATTTTCAAAATTAAAATTAAACTTTAAAATCTAGTACTTATTCGATTTTTAAGTTTCCCAAACCATAGGAAAACTTTTTTTTTTACTAGGATTAACCCTGATTTACATTTCCTTGCAGATTCAGACCGAACTTTTGAAAAGATTAGGTTCCTGAGCAGATTTTTATAAGGAAACTATCTGACTATGAGAATTTTGGTTGCGTGTTAAAGGGTGAAATTCACAAAATTTCTTTTAAAACCTATCCAAAGCGTTTAAAAAATAGATTTAAACCGAAAACCCTAAAAATTACGGCAAATTTATCATTGAAAACAAGGATGAATCAAAAAAAGCCTCGATTCACGCTATTTATTTGTGGTCTTCTATTTTTGAGGACAAAGTCGAAATAGTGGATGGAAACGAGAGGGGAAAAAGAGTGAAACGTTTGCATCAGAAAAACGACGAAAAGAATACGCTTCTTTTGCCAATTCAGAAGACACTTTGTTGTTTTCTGAGCTCCGAAACCCCGATATTTTTAAGGCTGGACCACTCTGAAAACATTTTTTGTTCTAACAAGCACAAAACTTTGCTATTCTAACATTTTTGAAGCAAATTTGTTTCAAGTTCTCAATTTCTCATGCCTGAAGAAGAGGTAAATTTCCATTTAAACAAAAATTGGCCTATAAATCTTAAATTAAACGTCGTAAAGGAAAATTTTACCGATTAACCGAATATCTTTTTCGGTTGAAGCAATTATAAAATCTCGCCAAAATTTGAAATTTAAATAAAATTTTTAATTTTACGCATGTATCGCTGGCTTTTTAAGAGAAAGGTACGTTAAAAAAACAAAATTTCCCAAAAGAATCTCATGTTTGGGCGGTTTCTTACAAAAATTTGGTCATACTCTTGCCAAATGTTTGTCTACTACATCTGGAGAAAGGTTATTTTTAAAGAGTTGGCATTTCAAAGCAGTCTTTTGATGTTTTAAACTTTAGTATGACGACGCGTCGCGAAACAACGACGAAGTGAATGGATCGCTTTCACATGAAGGATCAAAAGAAAAGGTTTTTTTCTGGTTTATGATTGGGTTTTGGCTAAAATCTTTAAAAGTTTAAACCTTGAGGCTCGCTGGAAACGGTTTTAGCTGTTTCAATTGTAAAATTGTATATTTAAGCTAGACAACAATGGCCGAATCCACTCGATTGATGACATGATGAAGTTGGAGGAAAACGGGGTAAATTTTCTTAATGTTAGACACTTTTGTCGAAGTTAGCGGTAAATCTGAGAGTATTTGAGTGAATGCAATGTTAAAGAGCTTTGAGTGTACAACTTTGGATCTTTACTGAATTTTTGCTCTAGTATTTTATTGGAACAAGCTCGAGAAGTGTGTTCAGGAATTTTTGTAAGAGAACTTGCCTATTTTGTGTTTAAAAATCTAATAATTAGCGCAGTTCTCAAAGCCTAAACTAGTGGTAGCGCTTATTTTTTGGTAAATTTGTAATTTAGGGAGCTAGTTCCGAGACGGAGAGTGAAACAAGTGATGTGGCTACGTTTTCTGATGGCGGAACAGGGTGTGTGTTTGTGTTTTGAGGAGTAACTGATTTTTGAACATTGAAAACTTTGGTTTTAGCTTATGGACTCAATTTGGACAAATGTTCTGGACGCAGCCGTCTACAAGAAAGTCGTCGTTTATTACAGGTAAACCATATTTGGATAAACTCGTTCTTATTGTAATTGTAGTAAAGGACGTACTTCGAAAGTTTAACATGGTTTTCTTCTAGGTCTCGATTCATGGGTACCAGAAGATTGTGAGAAAGTTCTCGCATTTCCCTGCAATACCATTAACAAATACACGAAAGTTTACCCAATTTGTAAGTTTTTGGTGTTTCTCTCGCGAAAATTAGCTGATAAATCATGCATTTAGACTCCAACTCAACAAAAGACAGCTCATTCAGCGTTTTGGTGGACGCTACACCGCTCGCGAAGTCCAAACAAAAAGCGGCAGTCAATCACTTGGTAAATTCAAATTATTAAATTGCCATATCATTTGTTTGAGGTTTTAACAATTCATCCAAATGCTGGCCCAAACAAGAACCGCGAATTCAGCCTCAGTCTCTACAGAAGTCGAAAGGTATAGAAAATTTATTGCTCAGGGAAATTTCCCAATCTTTTGTAACTGACAATTAAAACAATACAAATGATTGCCCAAATAATCAAAAAGGAAGAGATCACGATGATTGATGGGTAGCTATAACTTGCGCCAAAGATAATTTGAGAGATGTTGAGAATGGCGAGAAAGATCTAAAAATGAAGCGATTTTAGTTTTGAGTTCCTTAACTGACCATGGCTCTGATGTAAAGTCGAATCCTTTGAAATTGTCTTTCTTTATAGACGATATAAAGAGCTCCTGCTGAGGCCAGTGTGATAAAAATGATGCTCAAGAAGCATTTGATCATCAAAACAGTGACCAGGGTTCGTTTACCCTTTGAGCTAAAAGATGTTCAATAGTCTTTATTACTTTATGTCTATCAACCTGTCCGGATCATTATAGACATCATTTCTGGTTGCAATCACAAAGCTCACATTGAGAACATCCAAGATTAACAAAATTATGGATGATATTGTTAAAATAAGCTGAATTTTCTGTCTTGCCAAGCAAAAAACTTTTAGAATTTACCTTTGCGTGTCCACAAAACGGAAACCTATCTAGACCATACATTTATATTTAAAGTGGAATATAAAATAAAATAAACGAGCTTGATCTCGAAAACAAAGTGACTAAAATGGCCCACTCGTTGCTTGGGTAAATAAAATTCGCAGAAAATTCGATATGACAGTCAATAAAGGGAGACCAAAAGGTTTTCCGCTTGGAAAAGAGATCTAGAAAAGCTATTTATATTTGTGCAAAGGCTCACTTAAAAGAAACTGGTGATAAGTGTGGGGCTGAGTTTTGGTCTTTTGGTGAAGAAGAAATTCAGTGACTCAATGATTCAGCAAAAAGCCTTGAACTACGAGCATTGAACAGATAGTGACTGAATTGGGAATTTTGATGTTTGATGGAAGTTTTCGGAAGCTCTTTTCCTTTTAGGGCTGATTTTATGAAATATGTCCCCAATTTGTGATTTATTTGTGACACAAAGTTAGTTAAAAGTTCAACAGCTCAAGCTATCCAAACATAAACCGTGAAAAATTGAATGAATTTGTGTCTTTAAACTTTTAAAACTTTAATACAGTTTTTAATTCCAGGTAACTGATGTGGTTGCGTTGTGTGAAAGATGTCGAGAGTGTCGCAAGCTGTTCCGCTATTTCCCGAGAGGAAAAGGCAAATTTGGTGTTAAATACTAAAATAGTTTACATTTAGAAAATACGATAGAGTATTTTGTCAATTTACTCAAGTGCTTACGAACTCATCTTTTGTGGAAAGTTCAACACGTTGCTGCTATGATCAGATGCAAGGATTTCTTTATCGATCGCGCCGATAAAGAAACGAAAAAGTATATTTCTAGATGAGTGAGAACTAGATAATTTTTAGATCTTTATCTCAACTTTGTTGCCCTGAAGGACTTACGCCGTTGATGATTGCTATTCAACAAAATGACGAGGAAATGGTATGAGGAACTTCAGAGTTTTAGTCATTTGCTTTAGGTTACGTTACTGGTCTCACTTGGTGTCGATTTGATGCAAACGACTGTTGAGGCGAATAATGTTCTTCATTTGGCTGCTTGTACGACACCATCAATTCTAAATGTTGGACGTTCAAGCACTTTATTATCTAGTTGTTTTTAGATTTTATGGAACGCACTTGAACCCGAGCAAAAAAGAATTCTTCTGAATCATCTCAATCACGATGGGGCAAGTCCACAATATGTGGCCTTTTCTTCGATGAACGCTCGATGTTTGAGTAGTTTAGTGAGGTTGGTTTTAGAGATTTTTGCTAAAGATTTACATTATCCAAACACTTAATTTCAGCTATTCGAAGCAAATCGATCCACACGCTGAGCCAGAAAATCCGCTCATCTCCGCGATGAAATCTTCGAAAACAACTATTGTGTTGGTTAATTGAAACTTTTCATTAATAATTCTTTTAGGCAGCTTGAAGCGATTCTCAAGCAAAATCCGGATGCGTTGGAAAAGAAAGATGCGCTCACGGGTAACTCGGTTCTGCACGCTGTTGCGCATAAAAGACCGCTGAGTGCTCTGATTGAAGTGATGGTAAGTTTGAGCACCAATTAAAATTATTAGTTGAGAGCAGCGCCACGTTTAAGATGAGAAGTACAACATTTTACTTTAGGGCAGCAAGTTGGACGTAAATGTTCGAAATAACCAACAACAAACACCACTTCATGTTTATGTGCACAAGAATCATCTCTCACTCGTCTTCACCATTCTTGGAGCAGAAGTTTGCTTGTTTTATTTTACTAAAATCTATTCGTTGCAGGTTGATATCAATGCGCCGGATGAAGATGGAAATACACCAATGCACGTTGCCGTTTCGGTCTTTGAAATATTTATTCTAGCAATTCATCAAATTTAGAACTTGAATTTGCAAATCGTGAGAACGCTACTTTGTTTTGGAGCCAATCCAAACATGAAAAATCGCTACGACGAAACACCACGACATTTGGCAGCGAAAAATAAAGACGAGTGAGCGTCTAGAATTTTAGAAAAACATCTGAACGCTTTTAGACCCGGTGCCATTGATATTCTCCGCTCATTGATTATGTTTGGAGCAAAAAGCTGCCCAATTGACAAATTGGGGTCTGTAATTTTAAAAAACTTTGGTATACGTTAAATTTTAGATGCACCGTTGCCTGTGTTCACAAGATCAACTATATCTCCGAGAAAATGAGCCCTACAGGCAGCAATGCAGGTAAAAAATTGATTTAGAACCTTATAATTATTTTAATTACGACTTTGTAATTGTTTTCAACTTTCAGCACTACAAGACAGTTCCGCCGAAGTCGAGAAAGATGTTGAGAATGCCAAAGTGCGAGCGTAAGTTTTGTTTTAAAAGTTATCTTGCATTTGTTACAGTTTTAAATTTGCATTTTAGTGATGCTGCAACGGGAGCCTACGAATTTGAAATTGATCCAGACACGCATGACATCAATTACGCCTATGTTGAACCGAATCCGGCTAGAAAGTTTCCACAAGAGGTTATTTCATTTTTTTGTATAGACAATTTGGTTCTTAAGGAAGCAATGCGCCATGTTAAGCAAATGTTAGAGAAAATAGTGAAAGAGAAGGAAAAATCGAACATTATATCAATTTTGTCATGTGACGGAGGTGGAATGAAAGGAATTGTTATGGTTCAGGTGAGACGGTAGAATGTTTAATTTTTGTAAGCTTTGTGCTTTTAGATATTGATAATTCTTCAACGATATCTTGACTCTCCGGTTCAAACTTACTTTGATTGGATGGCTGCGACGAGTACGGGAACATATGTTGCTGGAGCTCTAGCAAAAGGTGGGTAAAGTGTAGAAATTGCATTTTGGGTATTGGACTCATTAAAGCATCTTGTTTCTTAAGGCCTCTCACTACCTCACATGCAACGATACTATCTGCGAACAAAAGACATCCTCTTCACCACATGGACACGCCCGTACAATACTCTTCGTTTTGAGCAATTGTGCAAAGAAGCGCTTGGTGACGATCGAATGTTGGACATTTCCTATCCAAAGTAAGTTTGGTATTGTGATTCCTGTAGCTGCTCAAATATTATCCCGCTTTGCATACTTTTTATTTTAGATTGATTTTCACGACGACACGAGCTGATACATTCCCCTGCCAACTCACTTTACAAAGAAACTACCAATTACCAATGACGATGAAGGAGAATTTAGACTTGGGATTCGATGACCCGGCTGGTAAATGTATTCGTCTAGAAAATAATTTTATTCTTATTTAGAAATTCCACTTTGGTTAGCTGCTCGAAGATCGGCAGCCGCCCCAACTTATTTCGCGGCTTCTGAGGGAAAATTCATTGATGGTGGAATGGTAGCTAACAATCCGAGCCTCGATTTGCTGTCAGAAGTGATGTTTTGGAATACGAGTTGTCAAATGAAAGTGAGTTTTTTGGTGTTGATTTAGAAAGTTTCTCTTTTTTAGTCAGAGTCATCTAAAACGGAAAAAGAGAAACGAGATGATCCAAAAGATGTAACAATTGGCTGTTTGTTGTCACTTGGAACGGGTACTATTTCTAATAAGGGTTATTAGAAAAATATTGCAAGTTTTTAGGAATAACACCGGTATCTCCTGTCGACCCGTCCCTTTTTGAGATGAGTGATACGTTGGGAATGTTACGAGGTATCAAGAATTTGACGCTAATGGTTTTGGATCAGGTATTGTTTAATCGTGAGTCTTCCATTGTTTGTTTTTGATTTGTGAAACAACTAATTGAACAGATTAAACCTTGTAAATAAATTTTTAAAACTTTAAACACCGTTTTTATAGGCCACCGCCACTGAGGGAGCCCCGATTTCTCGGTGTAGATCGTGGTGTCATTCACTCCGAATCCCATACTTTCGACTCAATGCACCACTATTCAAGTAAGATCACTTGATTATTATTATGTCATTCTTGATCAATTGCTAACTTTAGAGATGTTATGTTGGATGCTTCTGACGATGTCGAGATTGCACAAGTTTTGTGGGACTGCGAAGTTTATGGATACACGCATCGGTCGGTTTTTGCCTGTTTGGATATCTTTGGTAATGTAACGGTATAATAGTTAAATCGTTTTCATGAAATTTTTATAACTAACTTTTTTAGGAAAGATTTTGTCGAGTTGGCCGAACTGTTGAAGGCGATTGGAACGAATAAACACCGAAAGACGAGACTTGGAACGGGCCTTTCAACCGATTATGACGAGATACGATTGTCTAGGAAAGCATCAAAAGAATCGGTTAAAGAATGAGCTTTACTTTGTTTTTTTTAATATATGATTTTTAATATATGATTTACTGCTCTAGGAGAATTTTGAACGTTACTATTGAGGAGATAAAGTTATGTTTTAAAGGCTTTTTCAGGTTACAAGATACAAATTGAAGGTCATAGAGACATTTCCGATGAAATTTCACCATGTAATTTTGCCTGAATTTTGAATTTTTAAGTCTATCTCCAATTTTGTGGGGGTGGATTTTTGGTGGAAATCAAAAGCTGAAGTTACCTAATGGTTCTTAACAAAGTGTGCTCTGTTCATTTTGTAGAAAAATGCACCAAAAATGTTTCTCGAGAGTCTCACGAATATTAGGTCCACGGGTTTTTTTTGTGCGATTTCGAGGAGATTTTTGTGTGAACCCATTTTTAGATTGAATTATCATCAAATTCTGATAAAATCACCTAATCGAGCCTGGGATATTCACAATTGGGAACCAATGTCCATAAGGGGGTTTGAAATTTTCCAAATAATCCTTTTTTTCTTTTGTTTCAAATAGATTGGCTTCTTGACCTAGTTTAGTGCCAAATAGAAATCACAGATAGCTGGCATTTTTTTTGATTTTTGTAGGTATTCTCGATAAACTTTTAAACGATAGAAAAATCGGGGGTAGGCTACTTTCCGCCATTTTATTTGCGCAACAGGGTCATTTGCGCAACAGGGTCATTTGCGCAACTTTTTTGACGTTTTTAAGGGACGTTTTTTTTAAGGGAGTTTTTGACGTTTTTTTTTGTTGTTTAAAATTCTAGTACGGTTTTGTTTATTCTTAAAAACCATTGTTAACTAATTTTCCGCATTTTCCCAAGAATCCGCATCCATCGTATACTGCGGTCAGACTTTACGAAGAAATGACGCAAATAATCAACCGTTTCAAGCTTTCATCGGCTATCAATCTCACTGTTGGACAAAACTACACACGGAAGAAAACTGTATTGGCTCGACAAAAGCAACGTTTTACTGCTATTTCTAATGGTCGCTTGCCCGGTTGCGATTTTGTGAAACATCTTTCTCAGCTTTTGACTTATATTAAAAAAATTTGATTTTTATTGTTGTCCTAAATTTCATTGCTATTGTTGTCCTAACTTTCATTGTTATCGGTTGCACTTTTTTGTTAAAGCGATAAAATATTTTACTAATGGTTATTAGCTCTTAGAAAGGACTAATTTAGATAAATATTGGAAGATTATGCAAAAAATTGGAAGATTTCATAAAAATAGAAGAAAATATAAAAAACAATAAAAAAAAGCTCAAAAATGAAAATAATGATTAAAAATTCGAGTGCTTAATACAGTGTTAAAGTTGCGCAAATGACCCAGTTGCGCAAATAAAGTTGCGCAAATGACCCTTTTTTGTGCAAAAATTGGAATAATGACCCTTGTTGCGCAAAACGAACTTGCGCAAATGACCCTGTTGCGCAAATAAAATGGCGGAAAGTAGCCTACCCCAAAAATCGCGCTCATTTGAGTTTTGTTTTTTTTTTGGGATTAGTGTGATTTAAATATATGAGTTCCGAAAATTTTTACCCAATTCCGCAAAATTTTCGAACAAATTTAGCAGAGAAATTCGCACAGACGATTAAATTGACACTTACGACTTGGGTTTTTTTTTCCCCTCGATCGAATCACTTTTTTTTTTGCGAAAATAAAAATTTCTTCGTCTCTAGGGAGATTTTCTCCTTTTTGCAAAAGCAAAATTTTGTTTTCTATTGAAATTGAGATTTTCGGGAGTGGGACAAATGCGACCTTTTTCCACCTTTGCCCATTAGCGCACCTTTAAAACCTTTAACACCTTTAAAAAAGCTCTAAAAAGCTAATATTAACCAATTTCTATTCCAGATCGTGTTTTTCTAGGTAATTTGAGGGTGTCGAATTCAAATTTTGACATAACAGAGCGTGTGGAACCAATTTGAAAGACAAAACGGCTAGATCAAAGTACAGAAAATTGTCGATTTTTCTCTTTGTATAACTCCGTCCGTTTGTTTCCACAAGCTCTGATATGCCAAAATTTCGATTCTACGCCCTAAAATTACCTAGAAAAAGAACTTTTGGAATAGAAATTGGCTAATATTAGCTTTTAGAGCTTTTTTAAAGGTGTTAAAGGTTTTAAAGGTGCGCTAATGGGCAAGGTGCGGAAAAAAAGGTGCGCAAATGTCCGGGTGCGCAAAAAAAGGTCGCATTTGTCCCACTCCCGATTTTTCTGCTTTGGTAGAAATCTTTGACACATTTAGCTTTTGAACAAACACAGTAAGCCGATTTTGGTAATGAATTTAATGAATCTTTTGCGGAAATTCTATTTTGAACCTTTTTTCGGCGATTTTCACCAAAATTTGATCGAAAACCAGAGAAAAACGAATGAACTAGACTTTTTACTCGCTTACACTTTGTACTCAAAGCTGGGAATGTGATTTAAACACTCAATTAACTCTTTCATAACAGTATTTATTCATTTGAGTGCACCAGATAGAATGTGTTTGCATTTTTGAGCGCAACACCTTTCTGAGCGTTTATTGGAGTTTATTACAGTCATTGACAAAAATGTATTCAAAATTTTCCTCTTCTTAGCTTTTCTCTTGAAATTTTGACGTAATAATATTGCCAATTATTAGAGATATTCTTTACAAATTCTTATTTAATAAAAAAACAATTTCAGATTAGACGCTGCGTTTGAAGTTTTTTATAGAAAAACGAGTTTTTTACCTTTGCGATCCCAATATATCAAAAACTATTTACTCTACAGTTTTGATATGTCAAAAGTGTTTTGTAGAGCACGTCTAGATCTTCATTTTCACATATAACATATAACACTTGTGCGCAAAACTCTAAATTGAGCGAGTTAATGACTTGGGGTAGGCTAGTTTTCGGCATTTTATTTGCGCAACACGCTCATTTGCGCAACTTGCCATAACTTTCTTCTAAGTGGGCCAATCTTTATGATCTTGGTGTCATTTTGTTGCGCTTATTGAGATATACAAAGTGACACCAAAACGATAAAGATTGGCTGACTTAGAAGAAAGTTATGGCGAGTTGCGCAAATGACCCAGTTGCGCAAAGAATTTGGCGCAAATTGGCCTACCCTCAAAATTCAGGTTACCTTTTTGCTACCGTACCCCCGCAAATCTATTTTCTATTTGTTGCTCGCTCATTGTTCCTTATAAAAACAGGCGTAGGCTAGTTTTCGCCATTTTATTTGCGCAACACGCTCATTTGCGCAACTTGCCATAACTTTCTTCTAAGTCAGCCAATCTTTATGATTTTGGTGTCATTTAGTTGTGCTTATTGAGATATACAAAATGACACCAAAATCATAAAGATTGGCTGACTTAGAAGAAAGTTATGGCGAGTTGCGCAAACGATCCAGTTGCGCAAATGACCCAGTTGCGCAAAGAATTTGGCGCAAAGTAGCCTACCCCAATGACTAACCAATTTCAAATAGCAGACCACATGAAAATCGAGCCTTTTACATTGAAATGAGTCGTTTTTCTTTGTGTTCACTTTTTGAAAGTCCTTAGCTCGCTCAATTTTAAGTCGTACCCAAAAGTGTTAGATTCGAAAATGAAGATCTAGATGTGCTCTACAAAACACTTTTACATATCAAAAGTGTAGGCAAAACGCTTTTTGATTTTTTGGGCTCGTAAAGGTAAAGAACTCGTTTTTCTAGATAAAATGGGGGATTTCAAATCTCATCAAATTTCAAACCCAGCGTCTAATCTGAAATTTTCTCTCTTTTGATAGAAAATTTTGCTCGTTCTTAAAGGCTCAAATCATCCCAAAATTACAGGGTTTTGGTGCTTGAAATCGGCAAAATACAGAAGTCAGTCTAATTGTTGGCTGTGAACAACCAAAAGTGGAGGTATTTGAAGAAAATCTCCACTTTCCATACTCCATAAGGAACTAAAATCATTCATTTTCTTCATTTTCTTTCGAAAATTTTCCATTTTCAGTCAATTCGTCGTTTTTTACGTTATCCTGCTAATTTGTACAATTGTTCGGGAAAAACGAGAGACGAATGGCTGAGAACCGGCGAGAAATGGCCGATTGCCGGCCCTGTCTTCATGGGCATGGGGGCTGTGTTCTTGGTGAGTGAAGGAAAGATAAAAAGAAACACGAGTAGTAAGCTCTAAAGAAGCTATAGAACAGTTCTACTGTCGCACTGTTTCACCCACACCTGCTACTTGTTAGGAAGAGCAGTCGGCTATTGTCAAGTTCTAGCAATGATGTACATGTAAAGTTTGAACTGACAAGGGAAGTACCCTAGCCGATCGCCAGCCGAAATAGAAGTTGTAGAATTGACTATGCTGATCACAATGGTGCAAAAATCAATTGCCTTTACCCCGGCAAGCGCGAGATATCTGGCATAGAAGTTTGCGACATCGCGCAGCTGATGGCTCGATTAAAAGCTCGACTCTCTCGCGCGTCGCTGAAATGAGCTGTTGGCGCAGTGGATAAGAAGCTCGGATACAATGCCATTTTGCTTTTTGCTTGAGTTCGAGTCTTCACCTAGCAATTCTTGTTCGCTTTTTACTTTTAGCGAAACTAAAAGTTTGGACTGATTGTGAATAAGTAAGTCCGTCGTAGAGTTGCTCCAAAGCTGTTGTATGCAAATTTTTAGTCAAGGTCAGCTCAGGTCAGCCCGTATGCTGTTTCCAGCAAATTCCCGCGAGAAACTTGTTGACGAAGTATTCTCACGTATGTACAATACATAGTTTTCCCGCGGAATGTTCTCGAAATTTTCCACAGAGATCTTCCGGAAAGCCTTTCTGACGGAATTCCCTGAATACTTTATAGGAGAAAATTTCGCTCTGCTGAATACTTTGTCAGCAAATTTCCCCCGGGAAGTTTCTGGGAACAGAGCATTCCGCATACAGCCTCAAGTCATGCCAGACTTTTAGAACAAGTTGAACAAGCCGGTCCTTTTATGGGTTGGGGATACAAAACATGATCGGGATTCAAACCCGTGACCTCTCGCTTACCAGGCGAGCGCTACAGAGAGTTACATCGACACGTTACATCGATCACGTTACATCCAAAGAGTTACATCGACACGTATTCCATTGCCGTCATTGCCTTACTTCTTTGCTCTCTTAGTTCCCGGTTTTGGTCCTAGTAGGTTGGCTGAGATTTAAAAATGATTAAATGAAATGTAGGAAGTGGGGCAAACGGGAATCTCTTAAAGTATCATTGAACCAATAGAGTCCAACTGATTGTGAGTCCGATGAAAACGATGATTTTCAGCTCCTCTACTTGCCCTCGATCTATGCCATTCTAAAGCTCAAACTTACAAGAAACATCTGCTATAAGGTAAAAGAAAAGCTATTTCTATTTATATAAACATTCTCTAGCTAATGTTATGCCTAATTTTTACTGATATTGCGAATTTGATGGCCAATTCGTTTGTTGGTGGATATTTGTTCCAAATCGGCGCCGTTTTCTGTTGGAATCCGGTTTTTATGTATCTTGAAGGGGTGTACAATAGTTGTAAGTGCTTAGAGAAGTTGAAAATCTTACAGAAATTTACAGTAATCTGGGGCATTGCTGCTTTTCTTTACGTGGTGCTGGCGGTGAATCGCTTTTTGGTGATTTTGGGACGACCGCGGCTGGTTCGCGGCTTTTCGGTGAGAGTTTTCGGGGGTAAAACCTTGAAAACTTGTATTTTCTATGTACTCAAACATTACGTAAACAGGGTTGTTTCAAGGGAAATTCTCAGAGTTAAGCCTAGCCTGGTCTACCGTCTTCCGGAAGATCAATGCTTGTATTTCAAAAGAAGCTAGGTTCTCTCAGACTAAAGCCAACCCTGACTTTTATTGACTTTTACTGACGTCTTAATTAATCCATCATAAGTACCAAAAAGAAAGATGGCTTTTTTTCCTTTCTCTTCCCCCTTATTTCCTCTTTCTCCTCCGAAGATCTAGCTCAGTGTTTCGAGCGGAAGACCCGGTAAGAGGAGAAAGCTCAGTGTTTAGAAAAGCTCAGTGTTTCGAGCGGAAGACCCGGTAAGCAGAAGGTCCAGGGTTCGATCCCTCTCCGGAGAAACCTTTTGCCAATTCCTTCACTTCTTTATACCCTCTAGAAATTGAGCTAGAAAGCTAGAAATTGAGCTATATTGAGCTAGAAAGAGTGCGGTTCTACCTCCAAGCAAGCACAAAGTTCATTCTCACAGACTTTCCAAGGAAATGCCATTGTAAAATAACATAGTTCTCTATATTGGTGAAGAATCAACTTTTAGCGCATTCGCATCTGGGTGTGGCTCTTTTTGGCCGTTATCTGGGGTCTCTTGATCAGTATTCTCACAAAACCACTCTCTTATAACTCAAAAGCGATGATCGCCATCGTTTTTCCGTTTATCGAGGATATGAATAAGGTTTTTCACAAAAGAAAAAATCACTTTAAAACAATTTTCCAGGAAAACTTATTGTACGTGAACAAAGCGCACACTTTCAACAATCTCCTCTTCGCGAATCTGATATTTTCGATTTACTCGGCCATCATTTTCATTCTTCTTTACACGAGATCGAAAGGCGGAATCAAGATTTCGAGAGGGGAAATGAATGTGAGATTTTGGAAACTATTGGTAACTCAACCTTTCTGACATACAGAATTGAGTGCACCAGGAAGATGGGGTTTACACTTTTGCACACAAAGTAGTAAACAATGATCAAGTTAATTCAAATCAAACACTTTTCAATGGCAATCGAACAGCTCAAAGGCAATCGGACATTTGATACGCGCCCCGCCCCTTTTCCCGTTGGCAATCTAACTTTGAGCTCAAAATTCTTGGTGTTGGGTTGTTCAATTTAAATATTCTTGATATCATTGGATGCACCAAGTCTTTCTCTGTCGATTGGTACAAAAACTATTTACATTGGACAGCTTAACACCAAGAAATTTGAGCAAGTTGGATTGCCCACGGGAAGAGGATCGAGGTGCGTCTCAAATGTTTGCATTTGCATCCGAATTTGCAAACCCTCTTTCTGGCACTCTTACTTTGGCGGGAGTTTTGTGGAACAAAATTGAGTGTACCAGAAAGAGTGTTTTTCCATTACATAGTACATTTTGAGTAGCTTAGCTTCTAAATACGGCTTGATTCCGGAAAAGAAAAATTGATGATCTAAAAGATCTAAAAATTTCCCTAGGCTCTTCTCCAAGCCGCAATGATCACCACTCCGGCGATTATCGGCGGATATTTCTATGCTTTAGTGCAATTGATAAAGACAACGAATCTTTTTCTTGGGAATGGTTGGGCAAGTGATGTGGATTGTGTTTACAGGTTGGACTGGATAATACAGAGTGATCACCCGCATAAATCTTTTTGACTCGATCTTCATAGATGAAATAAATAAAAATTTCTTTAAAGATCCTTAATTACACACTCTTATTAAGTCAAATTTAAAAGATTTAAGTCCTATGCCGTTTCTGTAAGTGAGAGGAGTTGAGGCTGAAGCTTAGGCTTAGACTTAGGCTTAGGCTTAGGAGCGAAGTAAAAAAAAAAAAAAAAAAAAAAAAAAAAAAAAAAAAAAAAAAAAAAAAAAAAAAAAAAAAAAAAAAAAAAAAAAAAAAAAAAAAAAAAAAAAAAAAAAAAAAAAAAAAAAAAAAAAAAAAAAAAAAAAAAAAAAAAAAAAAAAAAAAAAAAAAAAAAAAAAAAAAAAAAAAAAAAAAAAAAAAAAAAAAAAAAAAAAAAAAAAAAAAAAAAAAAAAAAAAAAAAAAAAAAAAAAAAAAAAAAAAAAAAAAAAAAAAAAAAAAAAAAAAAAAAAAAAAAAAAAAAAAAAAAAAAAAAAAAAAAAAAAAAAAAAAAAAAAAAAAAAAAAAAAAAAAAAAAAAAAAAGGGAAAAAAAAAAAAAAAAAAAAAAAAAAAAAAAAAAAAAAAAAAAAACTTAAAAAAAATTAAAAAAAAAAAAAAAAAAAAAAAAAAAAAAAAAAAAAAAAAAAAAAAAAAAAAAAAAAAAAAAAAAAAAAAAAAATAAAAAAAAAAAAAAAAAAAAAAAAAAAAAAAAAAAAAAAAAAAAAAAAAAAAAAAAAAAAATAAAAATTTTAAAAAAAAAAAAAAAAAAAATAGGCGAGCCTATGTCTGCCCCTATACCTATGCCCCCCAAAGCCTAAGCCTAAGCCTAGGCCTAAGCCTAAACCTAAGCTTAAGTCTAAGCCTAAGCATAAGCATAAGCCTAAGCATAAGCCTAAGCATAAGCATAAGCCTAAGCCTAAGCCAGTTCAGCCAAACCCTCTAACCATATGGATAGCTGTAACTTTGTGCGTTTTGCCGATTAGCGGTTTTTGAAAACAGTTTCTGAACGTACATTTTTAGGCTTTTCTTTTTGCACCTACCACATATTGTAACTCGTATTGTAACTCGTATTGTAACTCGCGGGTAACTTGGGAAGGCTCCCTGGTAAGACCGATGCTCTTTCTTTGCACAAACGCGCGTCGTTCTCAGCGCACAGATTTTGAATAAAATAATATATTTTTGAAAGTGTATAGCTAAATTTGAACTTATCTTTTGTGTAAGACCATTTTTCCCATCAGAAATTTTTTTGCTAAAACCGATTCTTCTAGAGCTTTTTTTTGTTTAAAATCACAATTTTCCCATCGAAAATAGTAGAGTTTTATTTTGGTCTGTAAAAATTGTGATTTTGTAGATAAAAAGCGAAAACATTATTCTTCTAATAGGAAAAAGTTCAAATATTTTCGATATTCAAAAACGTGAGAACGAAGCGCGTTTGTGCAAAAAGAGCTGCAGAGTAGAGGGGTTGAGCGAGCTGCTTCTTTCAACTCCTAGAACTTACCGAAACGGCATAGGACCTAAATCTTTTGGATCTTTCTAGAAATCTTTCAGGTTTTCAATTATGGTGGATTGATTTGAATGGATAGTTAGAGGAAAGGTTACCCCAAAGGTCACTTTTTTAGGCTTGGTCTCTGGGTCTGCCAGAAGCCTGGCCTAGGCCTTGCCTGGTCTGGCTTAAAGATCCTAGACACGGTTGGAACAGCCCTAGATGCTTACTATAATATCAATCATATGCATATATAATATCAGCAGCAAACTTACAGTACTCTAATCAATTCAAAACACGTTCAAAACTGAAATTGTGATTTTGTAGATAAAACGCGAAAACATTGTTCTAATAGAAAAAAGTTTAAATATTTTCGATATTCAAAAATGTGAGAACGAAACGCGTTTGTGCAAAAAGAGCAGCCGTTTAGAGGGGTTGACTTCTTTCAACTGCTTCTTTCAACTCCTAGAATTTACCGAAACGGCATAGGACCTAAATCTTTTGGATTTGAGTTACTAAGAGTGTGTAATTAACGATTTTTAAAAGTATTTTTATTTAGTCCATCTGAATGTTCTGAATATTCCATCTGTCTTAAGCCTTATCTTAAGGCTTTTCATTCCAAAGGGTAGCCGTTAAAAATCTTTAAAAATAAGATTTTTTTCAAAAACAAACTGTGCTCAGGCATGAGCTCGATCATCTACCTAACTCTCAATCACAGTGTTCGGAGTTTTTATTTTGGGAGACGGCAAGAGATCTACGGTCAATGTGAGATTGAAGCGTCGAACAAGGATCTCCGAACGAAAGTCATCCAAGCACCAAACACTTTTCTCACTTCAATACAAAATGCGCTCAATTCGAGATGAATAAACTTACATTTACATAGCTTTCTCAGGACTTGAGTTACTAAAGTGTTTGGTAAAATGGGCATAGTAAAGTGAAAAGGTGTACTGTAATTGTTGCTTCGAATCATTTTGATGAGTTTTGCCTTTTTTTAGTATGAACTTGTCGACGAAAAAAAGATTTATTGCCAAGAAGAGAGACTAACATTTACCCTGAGAATCGGATGAGAATCAAATGAGAAAACTGAGGATCAGATGAGATTTGAGGAGAGATTTGTTTGGAGATGACATTTTAATCGATTTCCCTTCACTGTGCCCAAGGTGGCAGAACGATTGGTTCCTGGGCTCTTTCATCTTCCGAATCATCGCCGTTTGACTGGCAAGAATCACTGGAATCATAAAATTTCAAACTTTTACGAAGTTTTCATAGTTTAAAACAAGAGCAAACTTTAACACATTTACGGCGACGGTATTTTGGACGTAGAGCCAAGTAACCGTTAACTGTTTTACTGATAATTTGGTGAGATAAAGTAAACTCTTATAGTCATTCGATAGCCCTAAATCTCCACTTGAAAACTAGTATAAAGTTACCAAGAACTTTCTAGAAAATAATTAAAAGTTTTTAAAAAATTGAGTTGATATTAAAAATCATCAAAAATCGTCATTATCGTCGTCTTGAATGTGTTAAGGTCGGTTTTCAATTGATTGATTGATTGATTGATGGTCGGTGGATTGATTTGAATGGATAGTTAGAGGAAAGGTTACCCGAAAGGTCACTTTTTCAGGCTTGGTCTCTGGGTCTGCCAGAAGCCGCCTGGTCTAGGCCTTGCCTGGTCTGGCTTAAAGACCCTAGACACGATTGGAACAGCCCTAGATGCTTACTATAATATCAATCATATGCATATACAATATCAGCAGTACTCTAATCAATTCAAAACACGTTCAAAACTCAAAACAAAACAAAACTCACGTTTCTTGTCGAGAGAAAATCTTCGAGTCAGCGTCATGTTGAATGGCCATTGTAAAAGTGATAATAGCAAATCGAGAGTTGACACAAAATTCTCATGAAAACTCAAGCCTTATAAGGGACACATTTATTTTTCCTTTCCACATAGTTATAGTCATAGATCTTCATTATTCAAGGCTATTTTTATTACATTCAGTATGCGAAAAAGAGGCTTTTGTAATCTTATTACTAATTCTTTTGCCTCAACCAATTTATTTATGCATTCTTTGGGGAACTTTGAGCCATGTGACTCATTATTTAGAAGGGAAAGGAAAGGAAAGATATAAACTGATAAGACCAATTTTTTTCCCTTGCTTTGCGAGAGATCTGATGAGACAATTCTTCTTGATATTGATAGGAACGAAAAGAACTTTTTGACCTAATGAACAAACTTGGATTTCAACTTTACTGTTGGATTTGACCTAAAACCTTGACATTGATTCGGCTTGACTTGCAAAATCGTCAAGCCAAGTCAAGCCTTATAAAGAACACATTTATTTTTCCTTTCCACATATTAGGTTGTCCAATAAGTAATGCGTGTTTTGACACGATTTTCAAAATATCACAAAATTAACAAAAGAGAACTTTATTAATCGATATATTCTCCACAACAATCAACAACATTTCTCCATCGTCCGAGCAAAGAGTGAAGTCCGTCATAATAGAATGAAGCTGGTTTCGATGAGAAGAAATCGTCGAGCCATTTTTGCACCTCGTCAACACTTTTGACTCGTTTCCGTCCGCAAATCGTTTAAACCAGCGCTGGCACTGGCTGATTGAAATTGAATCCTCTCCAAATGCGGCACAGATAGTTCGATGGCAATTCGCTGCAGTTTTACCTCGTTTGAAATCATACAGCATTGATGCGCGGACAACAAACTTTTTGTCTTTCATCTGCAAAACAACATATCTATTATAAAACAAAGGCAAATGAATAAAATAATATATAAAAATAAACACAAGATGCAATTCGAAGCGATTTCGCAATAGTTTCGAAATAAGTAACACGCATTACTTATTGGACAACCTAATAGTTATACAAAAATGTCCTTGCCTAGGATTTTTGGCACTAAAAGGCAGATTTTTGGCAGTACTACAAGGTGAACAGTTTCAGTTACATTTTCTGGCCCTTCTTTTGGCACCTACAGTACTGGACAATGAAATATGATATTTGAAAAAAGATCGTCACTTTCGCGCATCTGTAACTCCATTGTCTTTGAGTTTAAACTATTAGTGTTATACATTTTCTGAAAGCTCTTTTCAAGGACTACACAATGGTAATATTAATATTTAGAAATACGGTAAAGACAAGGGAGTTACAGACGCGCGAAAGTGCGAAAGAGTTTTTTCAAATATGATATTTCATTGTCCAGTAGTGTAGCTACCGTATCCCCCTTTGGGATACGGTAGCTAGCTTTGGAAAGAGAGCAAGCAGAAAAACCTGCTAACTATAGCCCTGACTCATAAAAGTACATACTAGGCATAAAAAATCAAAATTCCTGTCAGCTTAACCTTCTTTTAGAGTATTTACGGTAGGGAACGGAGAAATTTTATAAAAGATCAGACAAGGATAAAGTTTGAGTCGGTACAGTCGATCGTTTCATTCCCTAATAATTTTTTCACACTTGATCAGTCAAAAATTCTTTACTGACACATTCGCAACGATACGGCTCACCAGTGAACCGTACGTGGATTTAACACTTTTTTGAGGCCGATTGGGCTGAAAATTTGCAACAGGGGTTTTCGGGGTCAAGGAATTCGAATCCGTACTTTGTTTTTAAAGAAAGTTGCTCTATTTTTGGATATTTCATCCGGTTTAATTACTCAAGTGCGACCCCCACATCCAGTGCCAGAAGGCGCGCGATTACGGGAATTTTTCATTTTTACGTAATCGTGCGGCTTCTGGCATACGTATAGGGGTATAGGACAGAATCCAAACTTGGTTTCGCTCTTTTTTCTCCACTTTGATTTAATTACCCAAGGTTTTAGAGTTTTGTGATAACCGTATTGAGTTGGAAATTAAAGTTGCTCAAAAAATAATGACGGATTCAGATTCTCTATCCCAGAATGCCCTCGGTTACAAATTTTCAGAGCTACAGCTAACATAGATAGCTGTCGTCTGTAAGAAATATATGTTGATGTTTTGATCTATATAATTTCTTGTGAGACCGTGTCTCAAAACAAAACCCTTCCTTTCTATTCAATGATACAGAAATAAGTGTAGTGTAGAAGTAGAAAGATGGGAAATAAGGGTAGAGGGATATCGTCCAGTTGTCCTCGATAATGCACAGTTGCTGGAGATTGTCGAGTTGGATCCAACTGAAACTTTGCCCGAATTAGCCGAATACTTTAAATGTGATTCGAGCACAATTTCTCGACACCTTTCGCTCATTGGAAAAAGGAATCGTTGTGGGCAATGGGTCCCACATGAATTGGTCCTCTGAAAACAAGGTCAATCGAGTTTTATTTTCTCGGATTCTACTGAAAGAGACTACGGGCGGTGCTTTTTTGAAAGCATGTTGATGATAGACGAAAAGTGAACATATTTCAATAATACAACACGCAAAAGGCAATAGTTGAGCAAAGGAGAAAGGCCGATTCCGACATCACATCCAGAACTTGACGGAAAGAAAGTTATGCTGTCGGTCTTTTGGAATATGAAAGTAATCGTTTATTTTGAATTACGAAAATCTTCAAAAACTATAACTTCGCAAAGCGACATCGAACAGCTGAAGAAAGTTGATGAAATTCCACGAGAAAGGGCTTTGATCCAAGGACAATCCATTTACTCGCTCACAATGCCCGGGTACACACATCAAGCTTGGCTCAAAACACCATAGAAGAATTAGGCTGGAAACTTGTGCCTCATCCGCCCTATTCGCCTCATGTTGCTCCCTCAGATTACCACTTGTTCCTGTCTATGCAACACTCTCTTGCAAATCTAAAGTTTAACAATCCTGAAGAAGTCGAAATTTGGGTGCAAGACTACTTTGCGTCCCGGGACCCCGAATTTTTCGAATCAGACAACCGAAGTCTACGCAAAAAATGTAAGAACATAGTTGATAATATTGACAAATATCTTTTGGAATAAAGTTGTTTTCTTATTGATTTTTGGGCTGTTGAAGTGTTGGTTATAATCCGCAGTTTCTTTTGCAAGTACCTAATATATAGATACTTTATTCAGGACCTGAAATCAAGTGCGCTAGATTTAAGATTAATACACATCAAACACAAAAAAGCCCGATAAAAAGGAATACGATATAATGTATGTAATGGGTAGCACAGACAAGGTCAAGAATCCACTAGACCTATAATGGAGTGGAGCCATAAGCTAAAAACCCTCCGTGAAGCGGGTGTTTCGGTCGGTCTGACGAATAAAAAGAGTCGCGTTTTATAAGAACAGAATGTCAACTTTTAAGCAAACGGTTTCAATATTCGAGTTGAAACAATCCTAGGCCAACAATTGCAATTTATCAGAAAGTTTGGCCCGCATTTCGAGTCCAAAAGCCCAAATTTCAATTCCACTTCGATTTCAGCCGTCTGGTCGATGGCCTCTTACTTCTATGTGCTGCTTGCCGTGAATCGTTTCCTCGTCGTGGTCTCCAGTCCGAAAGTCACTCACATGTTTCAGGTTTGAGCAAAAAGGAGATTTCGAGAATGAGAATTATTCTAATTCCAGAAAATTCCAATCAGTTTGTGGCTCTTGCTGGGTCTTCTGTATGGATTAGCGGCAGGGATTGGCTCAAAGCCTTTACCTTTCAATTCTCGAGCTTTTGGCGGTATCTATGTGCCAGCGATTGAGGACCTGAAAAAAGTGAGCTCAGAAGACTGAAATAGTTATCGTTTTTTCTAACAAAGTTATCTGATCAGCCTAAAAAGCCGTCAGAAAAAGAAATGTTGAAGTTGAAAGAAGTTTAAGAATAAAAAGTCTTTTTGACTATTCTCTTTGTCTAAGGAAATGGAAATTTGGCTTATTGAGGCTTATTGAAAAACTAAAACTTTGACAAATCCAGGAATTCCCGATTTACCTCAATCGTTGGCATGAGTATCACAATTTATCAATCGGCGTTTTGGTCTTTATTCTCTATAGCGCAATTGCGGGAATTCTCATCAAAAAACGCGGTGACACGACGCAGAAAATTTCGAAAGGAGAAATGAATGTGAGTTTGCAAATCTAGCTACAAGTCACTAAAGATTTGCAATTCCATGTTCCATTCTTATCATTCCAACCATTCCAGGCCCTTCTCCAAGCTTTTTTCATCACAATGCCCGCAATGATGGCTGCTTGGCTGTATGTATACATTCAATTTTTTGAAGTCGCCACTTTGGAAATGGCGATCACGGCGCATTTCGCCTGGCAGACTGTCAGTGGTGGGTTGGGGAGTTTGCTTGCATTTGCTTACAAGGAAAACAATTGTTTAATTGATTGTTTAACAGACTGCTTAACAGGTTGTTTAACCAGGTCATGGTAAAGCTGAAGGTTTGAGTACTAGGCAGGTCTGGGTAAGTTCTGTTCCCGTCCAACCGTCCAACCTCGTCCAGTCCAATGAAATCGTCTGAAAAATTGATGAAGCCTAGCCAAGCCTAGTCCATTCCAATTCAGTGACTGAAAATAAACAAATTACTTAACATGTCAAGTTATCCAGACCAAGATAAAGTTCAAGTTTAAGTAACTAGGCATGTAAAGTAGTCAAATCTGATCCTATTCAGTCCAGTCGAATCCTGTTTAAAAGTTGAGCGCTAACTTTTAAAAGGAATTTTCTATTTACAACGAAAAAAGATTAGCAACATCATAGTCAGTTTACCTCAATACATAAACGAAAGTCGTGGCCAAGTGGTGAGTTAGAATCCAAAGTAGAGGCTCTCTGGTTCGAGCCATCACCAAGAATGACCATTGGCCAACACATCCAGTTGACCTTGACTTTTCAGTTGAGAAAATGAAACTTTCAGGCATCTCTGCTCTAATCTATTTGACTCTCAATCACAGCATTCGATCATTTTACAAAGGGAACGCACGAGTCGTCACTTATACCGATGGATCAAATTCCGGGCCGACAAAGGAGCCGAAAGAGACGAGAAATACGCGCAACAGTATCCCGGGAGCTGTCCCAAAAAGTCCATAATATTCCTTTTGAGATAAAGCTAAAGATACTCTTTTTTTTGTTTGTACTGTTTTGCTCTAGCTGTTCTTCGTGTTTTACGCAAAAATAAACTATCAAATCTGGGAATTTAGAGTGCTTATTTATATTTATTTAGAGTGTCTCAAACACTTTTTGGAGCTTTGAGCATCTCATTTTTTTGTTTTGAAAAAGATTGACTCAAATCTGGTGAAAACCCTTGCCAATCTCGTTCTCAAAAGAGAAAAACTCCATGGAAACCATATAAATCTTTCATTTTTTTGCCTCAATTTACTCCTCTTTTTCTAAGTTGACTCGAGAATCCGATCTAAGAAATTCATTCTAGAATCCCGTTTCTTTAGTTTTTCAATCTTTATGCTTTTCTGGCTTCTTTCCTTTTCTCTTTTCAATCCGTTTTCTTGAGTCTTTCCGTACTTAACAATAAGATTAAAACTTACAAGGAGGAAGGGAAAGGAAGAAAGAGAAGTTATTGAAGTTTTAGTAGTAAATTCGTAAACTCTAGTAAATTTCTCGACATTTAATACTTAGGTTTCACCTATGTAAACTATGCATTGACGCAAATCAGCCAGTGTTCAGCGTGTTCGGCTGAGCGCAAATCAACCAATCCGCAAATCAACCGCAAATCAACCCCCGGCATTAAATCTGCGGTTAACTGCTGGTTTTTTAAATCCATTTTTTAAGGTTTTAAGAATCTTATAGTAAATCTTATAGTAAATTAAGACGATTAAGACTACAGCTTTGATTATAAGCCAAAATTCGTCAAAATATTAACCAATTTTATTCCAAAAGTTGTTTTTCTAGGTAATTTGAGGGCGTAGAATCGAAATTTTGGCATATCAGAGCTTGTGGAAGCGAACGGACGGAGTTATACAAAGAGAAAAATCGACAATATTCCGTAATTTGATCTAGCCGTTTTGTCGGGGGTGGGACAAATGCGACCTTTTTTTCGCTGGAAAAGGCCTTAGGAAAGGTCGTAGAGCTTCGAAAATATTTCCATAGAAGGGAATCGTATGCGTAGATTCCGAATTTCGACAAATCAGACCTCGCTGACACGTCGAATTTGGGCTAAAAGGCAAAAACTGCGGAAAAGCGTTAAGTTACGTAGTTTTTGCCTTTTAGCCCAAATTTGACGTGTCAGCGAGGTCTGATTTGTCGAAATTCGGAATCTACGCATACGATTCCCTTCTATGGAAATATTTTCGAAGCTCTACGACCTTTCCTAAGGCCTTTTCCAGCAAAAAAAAGGTGCGTAAATGTCCGGGCGCGCAAAAAAAGGTCGCATTTGTCCCACTCCCAAAACCTGCGCAAAAAATTGCTTTTATATTTTTTTCTTTGCGCAGGCGCACTTTTTAGAAAACGCATTACTCGACAATTACTCGAGCTATTATTCGGTAGAAAATTACTCATGCAAATTTACTAGAGTAATTACTTACTCGCGAGGAACACACTCTATCGGTAGGCATCTCTTCGATTTGCCCCATTAAAGTCAAGTTATTAAAACGTGTAATCAACATGATACATTTGTTTACTAATTTAGAAAAACTGGCTGTGTATTAAAAATCGAGTTTCCTTTCCTATTTCGAAGTTAGTTGTGACTAGTGTTGACTAGTAAGAGATCAATGACGCCACTGTTTTTCGTTACGGTTTTGGAGACACAAGCTAGCGCCTACCCAAAGCGGAACTCGGAAAATCTTTCGCCTTTCAATTTAGACGTCAAAACATCAAAACTATTAGATTTTTCATTTTGATTTGTACTCCCTTTTCAAACTTTCAAAGAAACTTCCTGTAAAGAAATATTCTTTGCGTGCTTGGTACTCTTCACTCAAGACACGTTATTTCTTGTTTCGAGATATCTGATCTCACTTGAACTAAAAGCACTTTATTCAATAGCCGAGTGACTCGGAATCTTTGGGTTCTCATTTGAGCAACTTTCAAACAAGATCGACAATCGAATTAAAAGTGACGATAAAAAACAGAAAGAATTTCGTCCTAATTAGGGCACAACTTTCACACAATGAGAGGAAAGCAGAAAGAAAAATGAAAGATAACAAAAAAGCAAAATGAACAACGGTTGCCTTAGATAGGCTTTAACACAAGATACTCAGCTAACAAGCTACAAAACAATAGATGATTTGGGGCGCGAAATAGAATAAAGGCGCACCGATTTCCTCAATACTTTTCCAATTTTTAGGCTGTCAGAGTTAGATAACTTTTAGTGGCTATTCGCCACACTTCCTCAATCTTGTTCTTTAATCCTTTTCTTTTCGATTTCCTCTATTTCCATTACCATTCCATTCCATTACTAACTCAATTCGCAATAATAACTTTGTTTACTTCTTTTCTCGAACTTGTGCCTTTCAGTGGGCTTTAAATCACCGTTTTAAAGGTACAAATTATCGGAGCGATTAGCTCATTTGCTTCAATAAAGTTTTCATTTCCTGAAAAAAAGGTTTTTTCAAAGTTTTTTCAAAGTTTTCAAAGTTTTTCCATTGTTTTTCCATTTCAGTGTTCAATGAAGCGATTCATTCTATTATTTGGGTTTACTTTGGCCATAAAATGTTTTGCTGGAGAAGCAAAGGATGAGCAGATTCACAATTGTCCCTTCTGCATGCTCCCAATTGACAATGTTGGACCACCGAAACACCTCGAAAATGATACGATCAGGTTAAAAAACGATCTTTGATCACTTGGCTAAGAAAAAGTTTACGAATTAGAAGAATAAAGGACTCTCTTCAAATACAGGATCACTTAAAAATTGATTTAATAAAAAAATCGAATGATTTAAGTGATGATCTAGCTTTCCCTTTACGGACTGGACTGTGAAAAGCGATCGATCGATTAACGATCAAATTTGATTCCTAAATAGCCGAGTATACTGTGATCTTATTTGAGATCGAAGATGAGGATTAGAAGATCCGACAATGGATAGCGCCAATCGATTCGTCGTCCTTGAAACCCCTTGAAACGAATCGATTGGCGCTATCCATTATCGGATCTGCTAATCCTCATCTTCAATCTCAAATAAGACCACAGTATACTCGGCTGTTTAGGAATCAAATTTGATCGTTAATCGATCGATCTCTTTTCACAGTCATTTACTGTTCGACAAAATGGATAGCGCCAATCGATTCGTCGTCCTTGAAACCCCTTGAAACGATTGGCGATTGACGCTATCCATTGTCGGATCTGCAAATTCTCATCTTCAATCTTTCTATCTAATCTATTAGCTTTTCTATAGCGTTCAGAAGTGAGTCAACAACTTTTAAACGAAAATATTTTCAGCGGTTTTGGCATGAACGTCTCGCAGCGTCGATCGATGTTCAAAGCAATGGGCGCTCATCGCTTTTTCCAACATCATCACTCGCACATCCATCCACATCAACATCAGCAGCCACATCACCAAAAAAAGAAAAGATCAGTTAACAGAAAATAAATGTTCTCACTGATTTAAACTGTTTGAAAAATGCAAAAAATTTTGTAAATTTTGTAAAAAATCCTTTTTAACCCATTCGAAACCGCAGCGTTTTTTCCTTTTTTTCGCCTGGGACCAAGCCTTTTTTTGACATTTTTGACTCCGAAGCAGTTTATCCAGATGGTTGGAAAGATTTAAGAGAGTCTCCTACACCATTTATTTTTGATGAAGAACGATTTGGATTTGACTTTAGTGCTTTTCAAGATCCTATCGATTATTATTCTTATTTTATCGACGATAAATTAATCAATATGTTAGTAGGCGAATCTAATAAACATGGCAAAAGGAAAACAAACTGGCAGGATTTCAATGCAAAATCTTTCAAGCTCTTCCTGACTCTGTATCTTCAAATGGGAATCGTCAAATTACCGAGGATTCGTGACAAATGAGAATTACTGGAGTAGCAGGCCTGGATTAGGAGGATTTTCCCACATGTCCAACATTATGTCAAGAGCAAAATTTGAATCTATTCTTCGCAACCTGCGTTTTTGTGATAATGAACTGGATCCTGCAGGAGATCGGCTTTATAAGATTAGAACTATTATGGAACATTTCAATGCAAAAC